CCAAATCCCACATAGGTGGTAACATTAACCATAATCTAGTATTGTGTTATGTTTGCATAAAATGTATAAATATAAAATAAAAATTCATAGGAGAGTGTTCGTACGTCGACATTAACTATTAATCTATGTATTTTCACCAAAAGTGTACTCAAAGAAATGTTTAAAACTATTTCTATTTAATCCACGTACGTACGATTATAAGTGAATAACTAGTGTTGCCGGCATAACTGGCACTCAAAAACTAAAATAAAATAAAACAAGTATTCTATCGTGGTATTTACAAACGCAATGGCCGCATTAGGTATCTTCTGCTTGGCATACACGGTTCTTATAGGTGAGATCGATTTTAATAATTGTATAACTTTGCTGGATAAGTTAAGAAAACGTTTATCATTAATTATGTGATCCAGAGAACAGCTCGGAGCTCATAATTAGGGCGCCAAAAGGACAATGCCCTACTTGCTGTCCGATAAACATCAAAGAAGACATTACATTTTTATCCTATACAACGTAAGTGTTTTTGATTTTATCCTTTTTTTCTGATACAATATATTAATCATTCATTTAATTTTTGTTTAATCTTTAGTAAAATTAGTGTGATGTAAATTTGTGTTACGTGTTTTTTTTTACATAAGCTAATAGTGCTATTTTAATGTATTAACCGTATACAGATATTATTACAAACGCTTCCAGTTATGTACTTTATCCGTAAAATATTAATAGTTAAACATCTAGGGAAAACCCAAATGAACCACTTCAGATAATAATAAACGATGACGAGTCACTGCGTAGGTCTCAAATAGACAGAAACAAGCTTACAGTGATCTACGTGTACGGATTCACTGAGCAATACACATCAATAGGCGGTACTTCTATGAAGAATGGTAATTAAAAAAGCATCTTTAATTATTAACTGCTTCTGTAGACTGCAATATTATTTTAAAGCGTACCTTCGCCGTGGAGGAGTAAACGTTATACTCGTCGAGTGGAGTAAGTTGACTGCATTCCCGTGGTACGATTTTGCGGTTCGCAATACAAAGATAGTCGGACAGTATTTGGCCAGATTCATCGAATATTTAGTGAGTCAAGGGTTCAGTTTGTCCAATATCCACGTGATCGGTTTTAGTCTAGGTGCAGAAATCGCTGCATTCGCCGGCAAGGAACTCAAAATCGGAAAGCTACCCAGAATTACAGGTTAGGAATTATAATAAATAACAGCCGAGACTGGCAGAGTTTTACAGATAGAGTTTTTACAAGGATGGGTTTTATTTAAAAATGTCCAATATTGAATTTTTAATTATCTCAATTATAAAAAATATTATACAAGTAAATTGAATGTACTCTCTGTATCTCTCTGACAGCACACGTTTACATTAGAAAGTATAAGCCAACCCCTTTACCAAATATTTTAAATTTGATTATGCTTGGTCAAATTGAGAGATTTCTTTTAATATAATTTTATCAGAGCTCTCCAAAGTATGGTCTTGAGAATATTTATTTTTATTATAACGGGGCGTAAGGTGTCTCGCTTTTATATGGAAATTTGAGAAAATACTTAAACTAACGAAAGTGTATTTTTTCGGTTTTACAGGATTAGACCCGGCATATCCTCTTTACCGAGGAACTAACAATAGAGGTCACCTGACGCCGTCTGATGCAGAGTTCGTGGATGTCATACACACTGACGGTGGAGAGTTTGGGTTTCCCGTTCCGATGGGTCACGTCGACTTCTTTCCAAACGGTGGCTTTCCTATACAGCCTGGATGTTCAACTCCAAAAAAAATTGCAACGGATGAGGCCTACGAATATGGTGGGTCTCTGCCGTAGCTTTAATTTATCTAAGATCATTATATATAGAAATAAGGGAATAGAAATAGTGTCGATGCGTTCAACCACGGAACAGATGACGAGGAATTCGAAACTTTTTCCAGAGTTATTGAATTCGGATAAAATGGGATAAAAATTGTATTGTTAGAAACAGAAACATATTACGTGTTATCCAAAAAAGAGCCAGTAAACTTTTTAGCTTGTCTGCTAATTTATCATTACAATTTAAAAATATAACATTTCCATGTTGGAAAATTTTAATGGACTGAATATTTTATTTCATCCGATTTTCTCTAAAATAAATATCACTACTCCGTTTCTGATATTTTTAGCAAGCTGTAGTCACGTAAGGGCTTGGAAATATTACATCGAATCCATACAAAATCCTTATGGTTTTCCGTCTGTTAGTTGTCACTCGTACGATGCATTCAAAAGTGGTAAATGCCTGAGGGATTCCAAAAACAGCAATGGCCAAATTGTTCAATACATGGGAATAGCTGCTAACGAAAAGTAATATTAAATACAATTTAATTGTTTTTAATACTAGTTTTAAATTTACAACAACTCAAACTGAAAGTTTTAATGGTTTTCAAATTTATTTTCTTCTAGTATAGTATTTATGTACTACCTACAATGTTGTTTAGTAATAGTTTAAACTTTAGAGTTGTGCTACGATTAGTTACATTGTATTATGTGTTATTTACCATTAAAATGTGTCATAATTCTTAATGGGTTAATGTATAATAATCTTAAAATGTTTGTTTCAGGATCAGAGGTCAATTTTATTTAAATACTAGAACCATAGAACCTTTTGCGATCAATCAAACTTACCGCCACATGGTTCTCACGATGATTTGAATTAAAGTTTTTAAAAAAATATATAAGTAAAATTTTAATTTTATTTTGTCCACTCTTAGGCTAAAACATCATTATATCATACTTATTTAAAAAATACTGAAATTATGTTACGATGAATAGTATGAAAAAAATTATTTAACTTATTTTGGATGATAGATAGAATACAAAAACAGTATAATAATTTAATATTTTACTATATTTATCTTTAGTAAAAATGTATAAGCCATGACGTGCCTATTATCTGGGATGAAGTTCGAGGGCGTTATAGTTATTTTAAAAATCCAAAATCAAGAAAAATGAAAAAAAATATATTTCAATAAAAGTACATTTTTTATTATAAGTTTCTATGTAGCTTATAAAACAAGTTTTTTTAATGAAATATAAATAATAAAAATATAAATTATATAATAATAAAATCTTACTCTTCTATACCATCTATTATCAAACTATCTACTTTACTCTGCTTCAGCTTAGCCCTTTGGTATGTTAACCGAAAGTATGGGTAAACTCTTAATATATCTTCTATACGGTTTGTAATTAATTTCGCAAAATCTCTGGTTGACTTTTCTTCTAAATTTGGTAGAGCAATTTTTTGATCGAAATTTTGCATCAAGCTAAATTAAATAAAATAGTAATTTAACTGAAAGGTTGTGTTGAAATAGATGACAGTGTTTGTATTAGTAGTACACGTATACGTTATCTTGCCACGTGCATTAATATTTTTCAATCAAAAGAAATTTAATTTATTTCAATTTATTGGTTTTTAACAAAAATGGCGTGGGCTACACAGTGGGCTTTAAAATAAACCATATGTGATATGTCTGTAGTCTATACATGTGCCCCATGACGACTTCACTCTACTATAGTCAAAACTTTTATCTAATTTTTAAAAATCTCAAATTAAGGGAAATTAGTTATACATACAGCATCAGAAAATATCACAACTGTTCACATTTTTTCACATTTTTATAAAATATTATTTTCAAATATAAAAAAATATTAATTTTTAATATAGTGTAATAATTAGTATTATATTCTGTGATTAAATTTATATGCAAGATGCTAATTTTAACGCCCTACACTAGTTTACTCTTAAACTAATTACAATTTTGTAGCGTTTCTTTTTTTGGAAACATTTTTATTTATGTTATAGCACATTTTATTATAATAAATTATTACAAACTAAAAATAGTTAAATTTAATAGTTAAACTTTTATTAAATTTTTTATTTGTTTAAATAAAAATAAATCATACAACTGGAGATTTTTAGTCGAAAATAATCTATTTTAGTTAAAATTGTACTTTAAAACAAATGCAACACTGACTTTTTAAACGGACATCGATTTTACATTATTTGCATCGATCAAATTTGTACTTCTGTAAACATTTTTAATAACTTTAAAATTTATAATTTGAACACTGTACCACAATTGATGTCTTGTAAGTGTTGAGAAGAATTCGACATTTTTTAAATTTTTAAATCGGACTATTTTGAGGAACATACTGTTAGAAGTGGAAACACATGTTTTTGTACAAAAATATGGCCTGCATGAGCTATAAAAGCTAAAAATAATTATATAAATGAATACCTCTTTTATGTGGTAATCATAAGTTTTCAAATTTTAGCTTAATATAATGTTTTATTGAAAATTTTCCGAGGCAATTAGTATAACAAAGGCGGAACGCCCGAACGTGTTGTGATCTGACGGTAATTAGAAATCTAAATAAAAACTACCTTGGCAAAATTAAAATAATTTTTTATACAAGCAATTATTTTAGTATTTTCGTTTGCAGATTTATTATTAATTTAAAAAACACAACGTCCTTGGCTTGATTTTTTTATTCTTCTCATAATATTGAATAATAGTGTGAATAACCAAAAAAAAAAATTCCACAATAGCTCGCAAAATTTTTATAAATATAAAATAAAATTCCATAATCAAAATTATAACACAATGAAATAATTTAAAAATTTATATGGACATAATTATTTTTAAGTAAAAATAATCGTTCATAATTGTATAAATTATTATTATATCATGAATATATTATTGTCTAATGTGTATTGCTTGACATCAAAGTAATAATGGGTACATTACCAACTCATTTTCCTGGCTGAGAGTCTTCGTACGTCGACATTAACTATAAATCTATGTATTTTCATGGAAAGTGAACTCAAAGAAATGCTTAAAACTATTTCTATTTAATCCACGTACATACGATTATAAGTGAATAACTAGTGTTGCCGGCATAACTGGCACTCAAAAACTAAAATAAAATAAAACAAGTATTCTATCGTGGTATTTACAAACGCAATGGCCGCATTAGGTATCTTCTGCTTGGCATACACGGTTATTATAGGTAAGATCGGTTTGATAATTGTATAACATTGCTGGTAAACTTAAGAAATCGTTTTTCATTAATTATGTAATCCAGAGAACAGCCCAGCCACTATAATGGTGGCGCCCAAGGGACAATGCCAATCTTGCTGTCCGATAAACATCAAAGAAGACATTACATTTATATCCTATACAACGTAAGTGTTTTCGATTATAAATAAGTTTTTGATTTTGTGATTATCATTTTTTTTTTTTTTAATACAATATTTTTGTCATTGATACAATTTTTATTTATTTTTGAGTAAAATTTTTTTGGTGCTTAAAATCCAGCAGTTTTTTTTTAAACACATAGGTAGATTAAAAAGTAACGGTTAGGTTCGTAACATTTTTAAAACGTAGTAATTTATTTATCTGTGAAGTCATATGTTCATTCAAGGATACAAAATAAAATCGTTGTTAAAAAATTAACACTATTAATAGTTTAGAATACAACTATAAAATAATGCATATTGCTATTATAGTTATACGCCAACCTCGTAAATTTCCCCGTATAGCTATTAATACATTGAACATTATATATAATTGAGAATAAATAATTTATTAATCTTCTATCGATATTATTAAAAATGATTCAAATGGCTAAATATTATTACTGCTAGTTATGTATAATATCCGTAAAATATTAATGGTTAAACATCTAGGGAAAACCCAAATGAACCACGTCAGATATTAGTAAACGATGACGAGTCACTGCGTAGGTCTCAAATAGACAGAAACAAACTTACAGTGATCTACGTGTACGGATTCACTGAGCAATACACATCAATAGGCGGTACTTCTATGAAGAATGGTAAGTAAAAAAGCCTCGTTAATTATTAGCTGCTTCTGTAGACTGCAATATTATTTTAAAGCGTACCTTCGCCGTGGAGGAGTAAACGTTATACTCGTCGAGTGTAGTAAGTTGATTGCATTCCCGTGGTACAATTTTGCGGTTCGCAATACAAAGGTAGTCGGACAGTATTTGGCCAGATTCATCGAATATTTAGTGAGTCAAGGGTTCAGGTTGTCCAATATCCACGTGATCGGTTTTAGTCTGGGTGCAGAAATCGCTGCATTCGCCGGCAAGGAACTCAAAATCGGAAAACTACCCAGAATTACAGGTTAGGAATTATAATAAATAACAGCCGAGACAGACATTGTTTTTCCAGGGATGGGTTTTATTTAAGGTTTGTGAAATATTTAATTTTTTATTATCTCAATTATAAAAAATATAAATACAAGTAAATTGAATGTACTCTCTGTCTCACTCTGACAGCACACGTTTACATTAGAAAGTAGAATCCAACCCCTTTACCAAATAATTTGAATTTGATATTGCTAGGTCAAATTAAGAGATTTCTTTTAACATAATATTAACACAGCTCCCCTAAGTCTTGTTAGTATTTATCATAACGGGCCGAAAGGTGTCCCTGTCTTATCTGAACTTTTAAGAAAATACTTAAACTAATGGTAGTGTTTTTTTCGGTTTTACAGGGTTAGACCCGGCATATCCTCTTTACCGAGGAACTAACAATAAAGGTCACCTGACGCCGTCTGATGCAAAGTTCGTGGATGTCATACACACTGACGGCGGAGAGTTTGGATTTCCCGTTCCAATGGGTCACGTCGACTTCTTTCCAAATGGTGGCTTTCCTATACAGCCTGGATGTTCAACGCCAAAATATAAGGAATTAAATAAGGTTTTCGGATACGGTGGGTCTCAGTCGTAGATGTAATCTATCTAAGATCATTATATTTAGAAATAAGTAACATACTTTACATGTGTATTGAAAAAAATACCATGCTAACTGTTTTGCGCAGTCTTAAGTCTAGGAAAACAGTTTTTTAATACCCTTCCCCCCATTACATTTATTTCAATCGTCATTTGTATCAAACTGACGCGCTTTTCATCAATTTAGTCTCCACCCCCTCCTCTAGGCACGGTCTTTATTTGAGCCCACAAAAATCAGTGTGCTGGTTGATTCTTGTATAATACAGTTGTGTACCAGAGTTACTATACGTACTTTACAAATATAGGGCCAAAAGTTTACTTCTTCACTAATAATATCATGAAAACCAAAAACTGATGCATGTGGTAGATTTCCAAATACTTTAAGCTGAATTAGCTCAATTGTTTCAGGTAGTTTTAGCATAACCCCAGCGATGTAATACTTTTAGAAACAAAAACATATCATGTGTTGCCCAAACATAAATCCAGTAAACTTTTTAGCCTGTCTGCACTGTACGAACCACGTAATTTATTATTACGAATATAAGATATGACATTTCCGTATTGGGAAATGTTTATTGAACTATATCTGTGATTTTTAGCAACCTGTAGTCACGTAAGGGCTTGGAAATATTACATCGAATCCATACAAAATCCTTATGGTTTTCCGTCTGTTAGTTGCCACTCGTACGATGCATTCAATAGCGGTAAATGCCTGAGGGATTTGAACAACAGCAATGGCCAGATTGTTCAATACATGGGAATAGCTGCTAACGAAAAGTAACATTAAATACAATTTAATGGTTTTTAATACTAGATTTAAATTTACAACAACTCAAACTGAAAGTTTTAATGGTTTTCAAATTTATTTTCTTCTAGTATAGTATTTATGTACTACCTACAATGTTGTTTAGTAATAGTTTAAACTTTAGAGTTGTGCTACGTTTAGTTACATTATATTATGTGATTTTTACCATTAAAATTTGTCATAATTCTTAATGGTTTTATGTATAATAACCTTAAAATGTTTGTTTCAGGATCAGAGGTCAATTTTATTTAAATACTAGAACCACAGAACCATTTGCGATCAATTAAACTTACCGCCATATGGCTTTTGCGATGATTTGAAAGGTTGTCTAAAAAAATATATAATTTAAATTTCAATTTTTTGCTATTTATTTTCTACACCAACTATGAGGTCATACTTCCAACCTGCCTATTCAATTTGTCACCCATATAACATGGATATTTTTTATTACCAATGTATAATATCATTTTATTTTAAGTAGTCAAAATAATAGAATATTCCAAATATATTTTTATTGTTTATTTTTACGTTATGTAAATTTACCAAAAAAATTGTGAACTCAAACAATTTTAAATTAAATTATATTTTTGTAAGCAATAATTTTCAATAATTCTAAATAAGTTAGTCAAACACTCCTAAAAAATATGAATTTGTACATAAGTTTTGGATAAGAAGTATGATACTAATAAGTCGTCTTATAAATAAAATAGTAAGTTTCTTGTTAGTTTTTAAACAATTTTATACATGTTTCAGAGCCGTACTAGATCCGTCTTCATTTAAGTTTTCAGAATTTGAGTACAATAACTAACTACTAAAAATAGTCAATTAAAGAAACTCTTCCACATTTTGTCCAACTTTAGACTGATACATCAGTACATCATACTTAATTTAAAATGAATTATCTGTCTTCGGTTACTATCGACTCTCTGTTATTAACATTTATGGGAATGCTGTGAGCTCATGTGTCTTATGACGACTTCACTCTACTGTAGTCGAAGCTTTTATTTAATTGAAAAAGCAAAAAATGGAAAAATTTTAGTTTATTATAATATGTGAATGAACCATCCATCCAACCATCCAACTAGGAACTGAATAGGTATTACAATACCTATACTCACTTTTTTAAACATGGATGCAGATTCGTGAGGGGTTTTCACTCAGACATACCTAATAACTTAATAGCATTATAATATTATTATATTACTATTTATGGTGTCATATCCAAAAAGGCCCTCTCACATATTTAGACATTACGTGGGTCATAGGTAGGAGATAACGTAAAAGAAAATAAAAAAGGTTCATATACCCTCCCCAAAAAGTCTAATATGTAGGTGTTTATTATTTTATTACAGTAAATAAAATACCTATTTTTTTTAGTGCGGATGCATTTCTAACTTAGTTTCTTTTTAAGAAATTGCCTAAAAACAATTAACTTAATTAACACAAATAAACATACTTATATACACAGTTCAGTAAATCTTAAAATACTGTTTAAAATTGTTTTTTATCTTAATATAGGTCGATGAGGTAGTGTATCTTTAAAGATACATGCTATAATTAAAATATAAACATGTTAAAAGTGTTTTGAGTAATTTTGATTTCTCCGAGATGAATATTCCTCTTATAATAGTCTTATGTGCTACATATAAATATTTTCAAAATGGTTTTTAATAAGTTTAATACATATAAAAATTTAACTTGAAAACTCAACGTTTAAAAATCATTTTTATAATATTATCCAACTGCAAGACAATATTTTTTTTTATAAATTATAAATGTGTTGTTTTTTTAATGAAAGATAAACGTTTATGACTCAAATCTTTTGACTAAACATTCTATAGAACCAATACAAATTTTTTTTTTCCAATTGTCATTGGCACTTGTGATTAGAGAATAGTCGGTAAAGTCTGTACCACTAATAAACTTCAACCGTGATAAAAGTGTCTTTTTTTTTAAAAGATGGGAAATATATAATACATACAATCTAGGTAGATAGATTAAGTTAAGGCCGAATTAATTTTGTCTCCTTGTACTTAGCAAAACCGAAATTACATAATATTTATTTAGAGTGAACAAGTTGATTTATGCACGTTTTTATATGCAAATGACACAAGTAATAAACACAATATTATATTGTGGTTTTTTTTTCAATCCAACACAAGTTGTTTTATTTTTTATATTTTTTTCATAGTCTTCTATCAAATATCGTATCAAAAATTTAATGGTGTTACAATAGGTACACAATTTCCAACCTATATTTTGTAAAATTTAAAAAAAAATTCACACCTCTTCGGTAAAGGTATTTCTATGTTTGCACAATAACATTTAAATAATAATGCCACATCTAAAAAATTCAATAGCAGCCAAATTCAGTATACTTACATATGTACTCATATAGTTTTAGTTTTTCTTTTCAATTCTATACAAGGCAGGCTTTCGTAGTTGGTAGACATTGTTCGTTTTTTCTCAAAGTTTAACTTTTAGTTTTTACTTCATATAATAACACAATGTTTTTAAAGTTCTCTATTTTATTACTATTTTTTATCCTGGCGTTTAACTGTATTCTACCGGAATGGACTGGACCTTCAAGTTCAGATGCACCTAATGGGCAAACTGAAGTCGAACTGGTTGATTATAAGGTAATTCATTCTATTATTTTAAAATTATTAGGTTTTTGTTAATATTTTGCTGAATCATTAATAATATAAATTAAAAAGTCTTCTTAAATAGCCATTTTTTATCTAAGAAAATATTATTATTTTAGTTTAAAGACTTACAAATAAATGAGATAACTGATGATCAGGTAATAAATACTACTATTTTTTAAATATTAGGTTATTTTATTCAACTTAGTATTGATAAAATATGTTTAGGTTATAGCAGACTCGTTCGAATGTTATTTAAAAATGCTCACCGAGGTCCTAGTCATCCTATTCCAATGGTTTGTTATATTCCGCATATCTGTGAAACCATACAAGATGTTCAAATCACGAATGATTACCTCAATGAGCGTACAGGAAAAAGTCATGGTAAACATTAACTATAATATTATTCGTTGTATACATTATTTATATTTAAATTCGAAATGTTTGTATTTCTTTTTGTTTCAGATTTTTTAAATTCTGATTTATTTGGTGAAATTTTAAAACGCCATTCCATCAAAAAATTCATATCAGTACAAGAATGCGCTAATCATTGGAAAAATTTATGGGTTAAGATTAAAGCTTATAATAATATTTGTTTATCAACCGCTAAAATATATTTGTGTTATATTATAGCAATCGATAAAATAATGTTTAAATTAATTTTTTTTTTTTAATTTAGGCAATAAAACACTAAAGGTCGTAATACCGCTGCTACTACTAAAGTAGTACCCCCCCCCCCCAAAAAAAAAAACAATACATAACACTAATTTATACTTTTATTTATAATAAATTAATAGAGAAATGATTTTTTTTTTATATTCCTTGTTAATTAGCACGTGAGTTATACGTATATATTTTAAGTCTGGGTGTACTTAAATTTCATGACCGATTTTTTTTATGGAATTAAACTTGGTATTGATAAACAATTTTCAGATTGTAGAAGAGGCGTTCCGGGATGGTATAATAGCAATAGAAATCATACACCTAAAAGATCACATAGTTGTATGTATTTCAACGTGGCAATTTATCGAGTATATGACTGATAACGACGACGAGTCTACTATCGTGTTTAACATTGTAGAAGAACTTTATCCAACGCAAAAACCTGGTAAACATCAATTACACACGTTACATATCATTTAATAATAACTTTGCTAAAATAAATTGCTCGTCGACAAATGAAGTGACAACTGCACCACACCCCATGCCCTCATAATAACATATAATATTGTTTATATTTAAATTCAACATTTTTGTATTGTTTTTTAGCTTCACGTTGGATAGATTCACGAATATTCAAGGAACTTTTTATGAACCATCGTAGAAAATTCAACTTATCCTTATCCGTCAAAGAATTCGCTGAACTTAGGAAAGAAAAAACGAGAGAAAGGATAAAGCAGGGAATAGCGAACATACATAATTCAATAGAATATCAAAAAAAATAATAAATAAAAATACGGAAAAAATTTACCACGACTGAACAGTCTAATATTATAATATTATAATTCTTAATATGTGTTAATTAATTATGTTCAATTATATGCCTTACATAATATAACTATTTTTAAATATGTTTCAAAATAAAATATGTCTTAACGACTTTTATTACTCAAAAAACACTGTTTCTTTTCAAATATACAGCGATTATTCACATTATGGGCAATATTGTTTATAAGAAAAATGAAATTACTATAATTTAATAAGTAATTTAAAAAGAAAAAAATTTGAGCAACTTTTCAATAGCTATAGCATTATTAAGTAGGTACAACGTGTAGTTGAAGGAATATAGTTATCTAAATGAACGTTACCTAAAAGTGGCAAAACAATGTTCATTGTTTTTTTTTTTTAAGTTTTTAGAATTAAAGTAGATCTAACCAAAGTATACTGTGAATCTATTACGTGTAAAATTCATTTTATATTTTTTCTGTCAGAAAAATTATTTTTGATGGGAAAAGTATTGTGGAATCTTGAAAACGACAACAATTTGCATAATGTAGACGATAGTATATCGCGACCTATATGGAATGAAACATAAACTGTTTTCTAGTGAAATATTTCCGCATATGAAACACTTGTACAATAATAATGTAAGTTTGTTTTATTTAAAACATTTAGTACTCATTTATGTGTACGTTTTATTAAAAAAGTTCATAAATAAATGATGTTAAAAGGAACATTTACTGATAGCGGAGGGGAGAATCAGCTAGTTAATCTTTTTGGTACTTTAAGGTGGGCTGAAAACGGTTCAAACTTTAAAAATATTAATAATTTGTTTGTTGAATTGAAAATTGGCATGAATTGACTCAGAAATGCACAATAATTGGTAAGACCTTTAAAAACGCTAATTACGTATTAAAATAATTAATTTATACATGTTTTGGCGTATAGTCAATTTGTTTACACTAGGTCACTTTTGGCAACGATAATAATTAATATAACTAATATTTACAATACTCGATATTTTACAACAACAATACAGTTTAGTAAGATCTTCGCTTCGAGCCTGTGTCTTCTCACGTGGTACTTGGAAGTCTTGTTTTCACAGAATTTCATTAGTTGAAACTCGAAGGACTTGAACTTTCCAATATCTGAGAATTAATAGTATCAACTACATCATAAAGTAAGTATTTTCAAGTTATTAATTGGGCTGATATTTGGCAGTTTGTCTGATGATTTTAGAAACCGACAAATAACAAAAAATATGTTTTAAATAATTTTATATACTTTTGATTTTTTCTCCAAATCTACTTTTTTAATAATTTTAACATTGTTTCGTTAGACTGATGAACTCAATTCTAATTTTTGATCGATTTTGACATTATATATTTTATGAGTTGGTCGGAAAAATTAATGAAATTATATTTTTTTAATAAATATTTTTGTTGTCTTGATTAATTTTTTGTTTCGATTAATTTTTAAAATGTTTTTTTCAGAGTTTTTTTCCATAAAAATTAATAAATGTTAAGTTTGTAGGCAAATTAATACTAAGTTTATCTTTTCCACTTTAAAACACAGTAAAACTCCCAAAAAAAATGCACATATTTTCCAATTTATAATATGGTACGCTATACATTTTGTTGTTGTTTTATATAAAGCTGTTGGTTGATGTATTTCAATATAATAATACCTAACTAAGGAGATCTTAGAAAGGTCTATTTTCAACCGTCAACTTTGATTTGCTAAGTATCTTCGCGAAAAACCGTTGGATTGAGACGACATTGTTATAGTGAACATTGGTTAGGCACACATGCCCTCAAACTCAAATTTCGACAACCCCCCTGCCCCACAGGGAGTGTCTTAAGTCTGAACACAGGTCTAACCTACATCATGTGTAAAAAAAATGGGGTGAAATATTTATTATTAAAAACAATGTGTGTAAAACGATGTTATTTTAACAATCACCGAATGAAAAAATATTATTGAATTTTGTTTAATATGTATTGTCTGGCTGAAATCGTTTTGTTATATTATATACAAGTTAATTGAATATTATTTGGTTTTCAATAGCCGTCGGAACGAATTTGGTTGGTGGAAGACACGGAGAACTTTTTAATGTGGAAAACTGTACTCACAAAGTTCAGATTACACGCCTGTTGCAATAATATTCAAGTATGGTAAATATACATTTAGGTAACCGCCGGACTCCATAAGTTAAGGTATTTTCAACCAAATATTTTGGCACAAATAGTTTTCAAAAATTAACTTTGTAACCATGTTTTTGGGCTGAACACACAAAAGACATTTGCAGGTTTCCACGATAGGTCCTTCGAATAATTATTGTCCTGTTCCGTCCCATCCTATGTTATCAACTATTAGACGGTGTTTCGATTTGAACAATCCGACGCTTGGCGAATTTTGCTTCGCAATGATAGGAAGAGCCGACATCGAAGCATCGACAGACGAACGACACCGCCCTGCAGAAGGCGCCCACATGACCGTACGCTTGGCATCTAAAACACCTCACGACGGACACGAGAGGCTCTACATGACAGGTGGCCAGCCCAACACTCAGGTGCTTGCCAACAACGGCGCCAGCTACCTCCGGAGTTGTCCTAAGCTCCACGGTCCGCCCTCGCGTCTCCCTGCTTCTGTTCTCTTTCCTGGGACGGAGTTCGAGCCTCGTTGACCAGCCGGCTGGCAGATCGACAGAATCTACATTCTGCCTTTCCAACAAACCAGCGACCTCCGAGACCCACCGCCGCGCATTCCGCGGCCATCGGCTGATCGGTTTGCAACTGGCCAACCTTTTTCTTTTTCCTTTTGCGCCTCTTTTTCTCAGGTGTTGGCGACACCTCCATGCTCTCGTTCCCTCGCAACGCGCTATTCCACGAGGATCTCACGACCTCCATGAATTGGTTGCTGAGATTCACTCGTCTCTCCGACGTTGTTGCCACCGCCATCGAGAGTCGCGAATCTCTCTTGCTCGCTGCCTCCAACCGTCTCACAGCGGCCTCGAATACATCCCGCTGTTCACGGGCCTCCGCGAGCCGTCCCGCCAGCATCGTCTGGTCAACGACTAATGTGTCGATGACCGCCAACATGCCAACGCTTTCGAAGACTGGCTGATTACGTCCGCCAACGCACGAGCCTGGGCCACCGGTTCTAACGTGCGAGCACGCAGTTCCGGTGACACCGGGTCCGCACTTCCCGCCATTTCGGCGACTGGCGTAACGCAACCAGAGCCTACGCCATCCACATTCAGTCTATCGTCTAAACCTCTCTCTCCGAGTCCCGGGCCATACAAACCCGCCCCGTGGGCACTCTTCGTGATTCACCATTGACGGTTTACCGTTGGTAGCGTGAGCCAATAAAGGCCTCCGTTACCCCACAGCGTTACCACCTACGACAGACTGCCAAACTGTCGCTTCGTGCTCAAGTGTCCAGTCTCCGTGTTTTGCTCATTTCCGATTTCCAGTTTCTCCCCATAAGGTAAGGTCTTTATCATGACAACAGTGGGTGTCACATCTTATGTTATCAGCCATTCGACAGTGTATCTATTTGATTTAAAACCGTCGTGTTCAGTGTAAACCTAATTTATAATTTGTTCGCCCAAATGTTTTTTTTCTGCCGCGAAAATGTCTACTTGTAAAACGCAAACGATTTAAATTGAAATGGAAAAATGGAATGTGGCAACATGTTTAATAACAAATGCAGACTTGCAAATTAACGTTACAAGCATGGCGGAATCAAGTTCAAAGTTCAACAGAACGGATTGAACCCATGAGGCATCATTAGTAAAAATTATAATCATGTAAGTATACATCAGCTGCCTATTCCAAATGTATTAAGTAGTTGAGTCGTAAGTAGAATTAGTGTGTGTCTGCCACCAAGTCAAATGATATTAACCAATATAACTCTTAAAAATATTTTAGCTGTGTTGGGGAAAAAAAGAATATAAGTGGTTTAGCAACAGAATATCTAGACTTGACAAAAGTAATTTTTTGTTGTTGTTTAAGCAAAAATCATATTGACTAATATAACAATTTATTCGTTTCCAGAGGTAGCATCCGATGAATCTTAAATAAGAAAATGTACCAAATAGTAACAACCACGAATTCAGGTTTCTTCTGCGTCTAACAAGAGGCAATTTAGTGTTAAACGTTTGGACAACTTACCTTTACTGAACATTTCTAAAGTATGTGATGGTAAAAAATTTAAGTGTTTAAGATACAAGATATAAGATGAAGGTAATATATGAAATTTAAAATATATATATATATATAATTTAGAAAATACTAATTACACTTTTTTAAGTAATTTAACATCAGCTTGGCGATCTAAGTGTCTCGGTTGAAGAAAATTAAATTAAATGATCAAGGCTCGAAAACAATGAAAAAATTTTGATGTCATAAAAATACAGGTATATATTTGATTGTTCCTATTAAAAACGGTAAGTCAATTTTATTTATATAAACGTCAAACGAATCACAGCAGAAGTTAACGATTTTAAGTGTCTAGGTGCCAACATAAGCAACATAAATTACTCTCGAGACCAATGGAAAAAAGAAAAGAAGTGTTTGTAACAACAGATAACCCACAGACTTGACAAAAGTAAGTTTTTGTTGTTATATAAACAAAAATAATATTAAAACTAATATAACAATTATTAATTTCTAGATTAGGGAACCGATGAAGTTTGTAATGTTGATTAAGAAAATGTGTAAAGGCTACAGTTGAACAAATGTACCGGTCAAAAATTTCATAGGTGTTGTCTGGCTAAAATCGATTTGTTATTTTATTTACACTTTTGTACCTAATCGAATATTATTTAGTTTTCAATAGCCGTCGGAATAAATTTGATTGACGGAAGACATGGAAAACGTCTTTATGTAGAAAATTGTACATACAAAGTTCAGATTACACAACGGTTGCATTAATATTCAAGTACGGTAAGTATACATTTAGGCAATCACCGGTCAGGTAAGGTCTTTATCTTGACAATAGTGGGTGTCACATCTTATGTTGTCAGCCATTCGACAGTGTATCGATTTGATTTAAAACCGTTGTGTTCAGTGTAAACCTAATTTATAATTTGTTCGCCTAAATGTTTTTTTTCTGGCGCGAAAATTTCTACTTGAAAATTGTGTTACAAGCAAGGGAATAAAGGTAAAACTTCAACAGCCCGGATTGAACCCATTTGGATCATCATTCGTAAAATGTCTAATAATGTAAGTATACCTATGTAGATACGTTTTAAGTAGTCGGTCAAGTACAGCAACGCCATATATGCTACATTTATATTATATATTTTATTTTTAAGTATTTGATTCGTAAGTAGATATAATGTGTGTCTACAACCAAGTCAAATGATATTAACCAATATAACTCTTAAAAATATTTTACCTGTGTTGGGGAAAAAAAGAATATAAGTAGTGGTTTAGCAACAGATTACCTAGACTTGACAATAGTAAGTTTTTGTTGTTCTTTAAGCAAAAAGCATATTGACTAAGATAACAATATATTCGTTTCCAGAGGTAGCATCCGATGAATCTTAAATAAGAAAATGTACCTAATAGTAGCAACTACGAATTCAGGTTTCTTCTGCGTCTAACAAGAGGCAATTCAGTGTTAAACGTTTGGACAACTTCCCTTTACTGAACATTTCTAAAGTGTGTGATGGTAAAAAATGTATATGTATAAGATGCAAGATATAAGATGAAGGTAATATATGAAATTTAATATATAATATTTATATAAAATTTAGAAAATACTAATTACACTTTTTTAAGTAATCTAAAATTAGCTTGGCGATCTAAGTGTCTCGGTTGAAGAAAATTAAATTAAATGATCAAGGCTCGAAAACAATGAAAACATTTTGATGTCATAAAAATACAGGTATATATTTGATTGTTCCTATTAAAAACGGTAAGTCAATTTTATTCATATAAACGTCAACGAATCACAGCAGAAGTTAACGATTTTAAGTGTCTAGGTGCCAACATAAGCAACATTAATCACCCTCGAGATTAATGGGATCCAAATGCAAATCCGAAAAAAACGGTCATACAGACTGGTAGCAAGACCAGTGATAATGTGAAATGTGACCTACAGCCGGCCAGGAAGATAAGGAAAAACCAACTGTCTATCAATTGGACATGGTGGTAGAAATATAATGGTGTAGAAACAACAGCAGCAGCAACGAAAACAACAGGTAGGGCAAATAGAACATAGTCATGGTGAGTAAAAGCTGTTAATTATTATCTTAACGAAAATTATCTTTGTCGCTTTACAATTTCTTCTTTTATGCCATAATTTCACTTCTGCTTCGGACCGAACACGGTGAGACACTGCAACAAATAGGGGTATAAAATTATTAATTTAATTAAAAATATCAACATAAAACATAAACGTTAACATATTTATTTTCACAGTCGTGGACTAGGCCTTCTGAGACGTTTTGAACGACACAACGGACGTGGAAGTGAAACGTCTGGTTTGTCGGCAAAACTGTTCTAAGAGGGGAAACCACGCCAAAAAAAAAACGAGCCTAGTACTCTACCTCAAAGGTGGTTTGGAAAAGAGTATATTAATATTATTATTGCACAAAAACACACCAATCATACAAGTGTACTTAGGCAATATGATTTACACCCGTGTATTTCGAAGGCCAGCGGCTTGGCGGTGATTCAGCAACTTTATGGAAACACATACACACAAAGTATACAAGAACAAACACAACTAAGGAACGTAGCTAGAGAATTGGCATGTGTAATATAGCATAAGTAATAATTGTATACAACTTTTTGGCCAGAATGACTAAAACAACTATAACTGCTTTAAGAAGATATTTTGATTTACATTTGGGAGTTTACCTATCTATTGAAAACTAAAAGTCAAAACAGATGGCACATAGTAAAACGCGTGAAAGGGCATAATATTATTTTATGATACATCATAGAAACCTTGTACATACTATACATGGACAAAGTGTTTGAATAACCATATAGCCATATAGGTCCCTATAAGTATACAATAATAAAAATTCCAACATTCATTGATGAAACTCACCGTCTTCCGCGGCCCGTGTCGATTAAGTATGCAAAAAAATTAAAAAATTAATTTTTTCTTGAAATTTTGTTTTGAATAAAAACAATAGTTTCGAATTAATGCAATTCGAATTTCGATTAAAAATAAAACAAACGAATTTAACGACTAACTTCGGCACTAGCTGGCGGACATCAACATTCAACCACGACCACGGTTATGTAGATAACCGTGACCATGACCCCATTCGAGTCGTTTCAAAAAGGCGTTATGATAATTTATTGTTTCTGCGATAACTGATAAGACATTCTAGTGATAAATGATAATAGATTTTTTAAATTAAACAAACTATTAAAATAATATAATCGATATTTTTTTTTCTTCAATTTTTAATTGTTGTTTATGCAGCTGTACCTAAATATGTTATAGTTCTATGATTATTATTCCAACTACGGAAACCGAAACCAGACACGATGGTGAGATAGTGTTTTTGAAACAAATACATTTTGATTGTAAAATTATTTTTCGACTTGTTATGATGACCGTTTAGGTGTACAGCGCTGGAGAAATAGAAAACGTTCGAGTGGCCGTTCGATTGAGACCTCTGAGCAAAAAAGAAAAAGCTTCAGGTTGTGTCCCGGTCGTGTTAGCCGATTCCGAGAACGCAGCTGTTTATGTTCAAAACCCGAATCCTGAACATGTCGGGCCACCAAAAACTTTTATGTTCGATCTTGTGTTTAATTCGGATTCAAAACAAGTACATTTGTTTACTTTGATTTTCCTCTAAAGCATTGCATACAATTATTATAACAATTCATCCAGTTAGATGTGTACAATGAAGTCGCAAGACCGATTGTTGATAAAGTATTTGACGGGTATAATGGAACAATATTCGCTTATGGCCAAACGGGTACAGGAAAGACGTTTACTATGGAAGGATCACATACGTCTCCAGAGCTCAACGGAATAATCCCCAATTCTTTTGCTCATATATTTGGTCATATTGCTAAAGCGAAAGGAGATATTAAGTAAGATTTAGTTAATTTAATCGATTATCTTCTGTATCAAAAAAGTTATAACAGGGCTATTGTATTTAAAGGTTTTTAGTGAGCGTTTCTTACTTTGAAATTTACAATGAAGGCGTTTATGATCTGTTGAGCAAACATGTATCGACCGAACTGGACGTAAAAGAAAGGCCAGATATTGGTGTGTACGTTAAAGATTTGTCGACATATGTGGTGAATAATGCTGATGATATGCACCAACTATTGATGACTGGCAATAAAAACCGTAAGATTCACGTAAATATATACTGAAAATCAGAATATGATTATTGATTGTGATAAATTATCAGGTGCGACAGCTTCGACGGCAATGAATTCGGAAAGCTCTCGTTCTCATGCTATTTTTTCAATTTCTATTGAAACCAGTCGACCAGACGCTAGAGGAGAATATCACGTTAAAGTTGGACGACTTAGATTAGTTGATTTGGCAGTAAGTATTATTAAAGATTTTTATTTTTCTCAACTGATTCGTTTGGATTTTCATAGCGTGTTTTTTGCCTACGTTTGTTCGGAAATATCTTTGGAACCGATTTAATTATTTCCGTTTCTTACGTCTAGTGCAATTTTTTTTTTCAGGGTTCTGAACGACAATCCAAGACTGGAGCATTAGGTATTCGTTTCAAAGAAGCGACCAAAATCAATTTATCACTTTCCACATTGGGCAATGTGATTTCATCGTTAGTCGACGGCAAGTCCACTCATATTCCGTACCGTAATTCAAAACTAACACGTATACTACAAGATTCTTTAGGAGGCAATTCTAAAACTGTTATGGTCAGTATTATTAAACATTTATTTGATATTATTATTATTATTTTTTTTTTTTCATAATAAATCAAATTTCTCGTATTATTTTCAATGAATTGCTCAGTGCGCTACTATTGGTCCGGCTGGATTTAATTATGACGAGACGATTAGCACATTACGATATGCCAACCGAGCTAAAAATATTCAGAACACATCTAAAGCAAACGAAGATCCAAAAGAAGCGTTGCTCAGACAGTTTCAATTGGAAATAGAAGCTTTGAAAAAACAAATTGACGATAGTAGCAAAGGGCTCAGCGAAGCTGAAGGAGAAGAAGACAATGCCGCCGAGGAAGAAGAAGGGCTGGTCGTTGGAGTTTCCGAGAAAGTTACCAGCGCTGTACAAAGTAAACGGGAGGAACTGGATGCAGCGCGACAAGAAATGATAAGACTGAAGGAAAAGTTGGAAAACATGGAAAAAAAAATTATTGTCGGCGGTGAAAACCTCTTGGAGAAATCTGTGGCACAAGAGAAACTGTTGGAAGATTCTGCAAAAGAGCTGTTGGACAGGAAATCGAGGCAAATGAACTTGAATATGCGTTTGCAAGAAGTGCAGGCCGAAAAAATGGATACAGAGGACAAGTACAGCGGTTTGCAAGAAAGGTCGGGCGCGTTGACGAAAAAACTTAAGAAATTATCGGCTGCCATTTTGGCGGTCAAAGAAGACCTGAAGGACACGGAAGACGAGAGAAAAAGAGAAATAGTTGAGTTGAAAGAAATATCAAAACAGACTACTAAAGAATTGAAAATGCAAGAGGTTATCATCGAACACTTTGTGCCCGATGAATATTTGGTGAGTAGAGCACACCTGTTTGTTTCATAATGATTGTTCTATACAGTTTCTTTTTTTTTTTTTTTCATTAGGATTTAATAAAGAAAAACTCATTCTGGAACGAAGAAATCGGAGAATGGGAACTAAGATGTGTAGCTTATACGGGAAATAATATGGCCAAAGAATTACCCAATGAAGACACTATTTTTGAGGTAACTATTGACCGCTTTCAACAGCTGTCGGTGTTATAGTGCACTAGGGCAAACGGATAACTGTCACGACTGGCCGCCATAGTTACACGTTAGGGTATTGATCATTAATCTTTTGTTTGACAACGATGTTTTTTAGTTGTTATATTTCCAAGTATAATTTGTCAGCTTAGCCAAAATGTCACAGATATACTTTTTAAAATATTAAGCTTAAAAAAATAAATGAGAGAAATTATTTTTGCAAAAAAAAATATAAATATATTCTTTGTTTTTTCTGGCAATCTTCCATTTTGGAGTGTAAATTTACATACCTTTGAGTATTAGTCTTACAATTTTTTTTTAATTACCCGAATGATGCAATCTACTGAAATGATAGTGCGCATTTTCGTTGGCCGTTACAGATTTACGATGTCTAATGCAAAACTCCACTCGAGTAGTAATTATACATTTGTTTTTAAAATTGCAACAACTTATTAGATTTATTCAATCAAGTAATCTGTACAAGAATTTGTGATGATTTCAAATAAATTTTAAAGTAACAAGACACATAAAATTGAATAGTCGTTTACTTTTAAATGAGTTAGATAATAATAATTGGTTTTAAATTAATATCTCCAATTTTTTTACCCTTTCCGTTACTTATTACATGTTAACAAAGTTATTAATAAAGCTTTGGCATTGTTTAATGCTATTCAAAAGTTGGAGTTGTACATCATTCAAATAAAACAGTTTCTTGATAACACATTATTTTAATAATTTTTAAACAGTTTGCAAGTGCTTTATTAAGTAATTAATTTTAAACCATTATTTAGTATATACTAAATTTACAAAATTGTAAAAAAAATTATTCAAATAAAATTACTACTCGAATGAATTGTGAAATAATTATTTGAAAAATAATTTGCACGACAGTCATTACAAATTAAATATAATTGTGATACTTTTTTTTTTAATTGTTACAGTCACACAGACCAGATTTTTCACACGTATACTTGACGTACAAAGACAGAGGTCTGTCGACGAGGTCCAAATCGAGAACCGGTAAACGGACGTAATTGTGATACCAATACATTACTCTACATTCCTAGTCAAAGAATTGAATCTATATATCACCTTCTTTTCTACTGCATGAGAAAAATGCTTATTTTTTTTTTTTACAAATACAACTTATTTATTTTTTTTACAATACCATTATCTTGCACAGATAATGTATGTATATATATTAATACTAATAAATATAATTACAATATGCATTTAATGTATAATATTAGATGTGTAATTTACTGTTCAATTTAAATAATAATCTATTTCCGATTGGAAAAATCATTTCTTAAAAATACATTTGATATAAACTACTAACATTAAAAACATAATTTAATATAAAATAATTATATACAAGTTATGTATATATATATATGTATATTGTTTTTTCATTTTCATCTCTTAGATTAATTAGTTAATCTAAGACACGGAGTATTGTAACAATAAAAAATAAAAATATCCTTTGATCGCATCTTATGACAAAGCGTTCCAGCCTGAAGCCAATGGGCGACGGCCATCCCGATAATTTCATCTTGAAAGCGAATGCGATCTTTCCTCCTTGTCGTGCAGTCTCTGATGTGGCGGTAATTTGTAAAAGAACTTGTGTTCCAAAGCTTCTTCCATGGTCATACGTTTCGCTGGGTCGTAATTGAGCAGTTCGGAGATCAAGTCGAACAATAATCTATGGTCTTCCTCTTCGGAGCTCATGTATCTCTGGAAAATTACATACGAATATTTTCAATTGCACATTACTCTCGGTAACTTCAAAATTAAATATATATATACCTTTAATGGTTTACAGTTTTCTCTGACGTATCGTCCAGCCGAACTAGACTGGTCCCAGTCGAGTTTCCCGTGATAGAAGTATTTCGTTTTACTCCGTCTGGCCATTCTGGACACAAAAAAAAAAACACATTTAATATCATATAATTAAAATGATAAAAAAAAAATACCACGCCAAAAATTGCTTTCGACTTACTTATGAGGTATCGAGCCGAGTATTCGCTCCATCATCGCAAGGTGTTCACGGTTGTCGTGGGTTTGGAATAATGTAATGCCGAGGTAAAGTTCAAATATGATACAACCGATGGACCAAACATCGCACGGTTGAGCCCAGCCAAGTTCTAAATAACAATTCAAGTATTGCGTAAAAAAAGTCTTTATAGTAAAAATCATCAAAAAGTACAAACCTAAAATAACTTCGGGAGCTCGGTAATGCCTAGTGGAGACCACCGTACTGTGATGTTCGTCGTCGAACGTGGCGCTACCGAAATCGATTAGTCTGACTTCAGTGTCTCGTATCATTTTGTAAGCACGCTTCTTTTTGAAAACAATTAATAGTTACTACACTGTCGAGATTAAATTAATTTATAACGTTTAAATATGTATATTACTTTTTTCTGATTATATTGGCTATCGTAATCGGACTTCACGAACAAAATGTTTTCCGGTTTCAAGTCGGTATGTGTGAGTTTATTTCTATGCAAAAATCTGACGGCGTAGCATAATTGGTACGATATGTGTCGAACCTGATCGATGGTATAAGGTTGATAGTTATTTTCTTTCTGCAAATTAAACCGAAAACAAATTAATTAAATTTTAATCGATTTTTTGTCATCGGCGAAAAAATCAAACTTACTAAGAAATCAAACACGCTCAATCCCAATAACTCGAAGCCGATACACACGTGTCCGCCGTACTCGAAATTGTCAATCATACGAACACAAAGACTGAAAAATTAAATAATCATATATGTACAAATTTGTGGTTTTGTAACAACAAGTACAATCCAAAATTTTAGGCTCATACTTTTTGCTTTCTGGATCTTTTGCATTCAGTTTTTCTAGTGCGTTGATCTCCAAACGAGCCGCTTCTCGATATTTTTCGACATTTTTAATGATTTTCACAGCAGCTATCTGATCACGGCTGTAAAAATAAATAAACCTTACATTGATGGCTAAGTTTATTATTTTTTTTTTTTTAAAACTGCAAAGCATGCCAAACAGGTCATGAAGACAATTTTATACATTGCTAGTTATTTACTTCTAAACTGAATGTCATATTATTTTGTGCACATTACCAAAAACATTCCTTTAAAAACTATTTTTTTATTAAAAAAAAGAAAAGGAAGGAAGGAAACCTCAAAAATTGTCTGTAATTTTTTTAACGCAAATAGAATTTGAGATAGGTATTGTTTTTTTTTTTTAGATAAAAAAAAAATTGTGAGACTATTAATGACAAATCACGATCGAGCCAAACTGATAAATGTGTCACTTACTTCTTTAGTGATTTGGCACTGACCACTTTACCAAAAGTACCTTCGCCAAGTGTCTGAATAATTTGATCTGAAATACGTCAAAATAAAACACTAAATCAATATAAAATATAAAATAACCGACATCCGCTGCGGGGGCCATATTTGATCACAATTATTACTATAATTATAATAATTAATATAATTTATTTTCAACGTTAATTTCTTATTAGATATGTACGAATTTTCTTTCGCAAATATTAAGAAAACATTCAATTCAAAATAGTTAAGGTCAGAAATGTCAAGAAAACCTATCCTTTCTATTTACAGATAAAATATTATTATAAATGTATACGAATGTATTAAAAATATGAAATTTCAATAGAAACATCTTGGCCTAACAAGTAAACGTTAGTCCATAACTGCCGAAAATAGTAGGTAATAGCAACTATTATATATATATATATTTTTTTAGCAAGGCAATTGAACACTCAAAAGTCAAAGCGAGAATATCGTAACATAGTTTTTGCCCATTCAACTCGAAACAAACAACAAACGCACGCGCTAATGTCTCATCCACGTTATCATATTTTGGTGGTACATTACTGTTTTTAATTTGTTTTTTTTTTTTTTAGTGAAAGAGAGAAAGAGATTAAGTATCATTTCAAAAATGTAACTGGTTCACGAACATCTATCGGCCAGACTGTCTCCGTTTTTGTAAATCAGATGTCCCTCTTCGTCATCCACAATGACCGGACTTCTTGCTCGTTGCTGTAGCGTTCACACACAGTTGCCGTGTTCATGCGTTGTCCAGATTTCGATCATTGTAGTGTAGTGTATTTGTTGGTTGGGTATTGATTTATAGGCGCCCCGGACACACACACGCGAATTGTTGATGGCAGATTGGATTTCGAACGAGATTTGTACATTCAGGTGGTGCACCAATATTCAGCAGTTGCGTGTTTAATCGCCCGCAATCATAAAGACAGAAGGACACAAGGCAAACGAAAGCCTCGTTAACAACTTGTTCATATACATACATAGATATATATATATACATACATACACATATGCATATATACACATACACATATATATATATACATATATACATATAAATATATTCTTACAAATAAGTGCGTTATTTCATATATATTTTTGCATTTAAATATATACAAATTAACTGTAAGTATAAAATAACAATAGTAGATAATTGGGTATAAGTTTGGGTTGAAAAATAAAATCAGTAAAAATTTTGATTTTTACCACAAATGTCACATTCACTAATTAAGCTTGTCGTTCAGAAATTGTTACAGCTTATAATATGTGTTTTCATTAGTTTTATTATATAGAGTTTTTATTATTATTATTATTATTATTATTGAACTAATTTCCAAAACAACCTGTATTTGAAATAACTCTCAATTTATACTTTCATATTTTTTACTAAAATAACTGAAATAGAAGAAAATGGTAAATATTTTTACTATATTTTTATGATAACAATAAAATAAAAAACATTTTTAAGCATTTATAAATAAGTAATAGTTTTATTTTCTCGGTATTACCAAAAGTCACTAGTTAAGGGTTAACCAATGTTTCTTATGTTTGTATTTTACTATGCACATCTACATAAGATCAACATAAGTGTTATTATAAGGTTTTAAAATTATATTTAAAAAAAAAAAAGTTAAAATTTCTAACGCTTATTTTTGTGACAGTTTTTTAAATTTGGATTTACTTATACACATTATAATGTTTTTATGCAAAGTGAAAGAAATAAAATATTTTATTCAGAAAGTGCAGCAATACATAAACAGAGACACAAGAGGCGTGACTTACACCGAAGTTTGCAGAAGAGGTAAGAATGGAAGAATACTTTTGTTGGCACTTGGCCAAAGCACTAGGGGTGTCATCGTTAGCTTCCTCATTGTCTATGGCTGAATATTTCATAATCAGTGTTTGTATTTCCTTACGTTTGGCTTCACGTTCTGTTATCACGGGGTCTGCGGTTTGTTCGGCTTTATCCAATTCATTTGTCGGAGGGGTAGTAGTAACAGCTGTGGTTACGGTAGTCGGTGACCGTTTTAATGGTCGTATAGACAATAACATGTTAGGTTTATGGCGGCGGTAAGGGGTTTTTTCGCGAGGGGTTTGATGGACAAAGGGATACGCTTTTTCCGATAACAGAACTGTCGTTGCACTTTTGGTCAAAGGTCTTTGTTGTCGTCGATAACGATGTGCGTCTAAAGCAGACAGGTAACGTTCTTCATTTCGCAAAGAGTAACCAGAAGAATGGAACGGACTCGGAAGGTATGAAGACGATGACGACGATGAAGGAATATTGTGATTTCGCGTGGTCGTTTCAATAGGTTTAAGTTCGGGGGGTTTACGAATCGATTCCGACGGACCACGAGATCGTCCGGTAATACGGTTAATAAGACTCGAGTAGGAATCCGATAACATTTGCGTAACGCTAACAGTAGAGGATCGAGTGTACCTAGTGCGACGCTTGTCGGACAAAGCGTGACCATTCATTTCTGGAAGCATTACCCGAACTTATGTAAATATATATATATGTATAAAAAAATAAATTAAAAAAATAATAATTTAAACAACAACTTTGAAATACAGTCATGAAAACTTTGAAACTTAAATGTATCTACATTGCTTTGGTTTGGAAAACTGTTGGTCAACCGTATAGTGGACCTGGCATACGTATAAGAGGGCCTCGCGTATTAAGGCAATCTTCCAAAAAATCTATTTCTGTGTCAACCGGACGATATAGAAAAAAAAAACCACGACCTCTTCTGTGTTAGCAAAACGTGAGCCACACGTCATAGACTTTGTTGACAATTCTGTTTTATCTTCTCACAGAATAAGATACAAGGAATAAATGACTTAGTGGCCTTGTAACAAGACATTTCATGAACTATATGTATCACTGTGAAAATATGGATAACTCCCAAAATTTTGTAACTAATACTAATAGTAGAAGACACACTATTATAACACATCAGACATTAGTGATTGAATGTATTGTGCACAGCGTTTACCCGATCTAAATTTCATTTGAACAGGATTGTGTTGTAAAGTAAGTGAAAATTAAATTATCAATGTTACAAAAATTAATTATTTATCATAAGAAAAAGGCTATTTCTTAAACTTTTACTGATTACTCTATAAATAAATGTAATAAACTAGTTGTTTTTTTTTTATAAAAGATTTAATAAATTACAATACAATATGTTTAGGACACGATTAAGTAACAGTTCATTGCATTTATTATTAGTAAAAATTTATAAATTTCATTAAATATTTATAAGACTATTAAAACTCATACACTGTCTAAATTATTTTGCTTTAAAACGACATCTGTATAATAGTGTGAAATAATAAATTATTGAAATGGGTATTACATTTTTATAAAAAATTGAAACATTGAAGAAAGCACAGTAGATAAAGCACTGAACTTGGATTACACACTACTGTTCATTTTCCAAAATTTTTTTTTAAAAAATCCAAAATGCCATTGTTTTTTGCTTTTACAGTTGTCGGGTTTTGCCAATTTTTAAATAGGGAAACTTTCTACATTCCACATAGGGCTTCGATTTTCAAAATTAAAATTATACACGACAAAAAATAGCGAATTTTTTTACTAATTTTTTTTTTTAGTAATTAAATAAAAATCAAAGCCTTTTGCAACTATAGTAAGTTTTCCTCTCGCAACAAAATTTTTTTTATTAAAATTCTACTTTACCAAGCGCCTTTACGTTTTCTGTAGTCTTTTATAACCACTAAAAAAATGTACCAAAAATTATATTTAAAGGTAATACAAAAGAAACTAAAAATAAGTTAATATAATGAAAAATAAAAAACTGCCCACGGTTTGAGACTTATGAAAATTTTGGCACACTCTTTAAAAAATAAAATTTCCTGCTATAATGAAAATTAAAAGGTAGCGTTCTGGTCTACATTTAAATCAATTGTGAGTTTTTCTTAGTGGTAAAGGTATATATGTAATATTTAAGCTATTTTAAACGTAATTTCATTTATCATCTCAACTAATTATGTGTGATACTAGACAGACATAACTATTTGGTTTGATTTGAAAGAGAATGACTAATAAAGACAATACATACAATACCACTGATGTTTAATTTAGTGGCTACGAAGAAAGAAAATGCATATTTCATAAAAAAAAAAAAATACTGACTGGATTTAAGGGCCACCAATGGGCATCCACCAGTATTGCAGCTGTCGATTGGGGCGGTCTGACCCTTTGAGTTCCTCTGGCTGAACGAGTACGGCTATGTTGTCTGGCCACAGCACTCTCCGTATGATGCCATGGCGGTACAGGCCGCCGCCTGGGGGTATGCTGCTCGACAAACATACGAGGAGCAAGTGCACCACATAAAACTGCCTACTGGAGATGTGGCGTTATTTCGAATACTGAGCCAGAAACTTGGAGAGTGCGTATTGAATAATATAAATTATGGAGAGACGCATGCACCACTATGTTTATATTTAGATGGCATGTGTTTGCAAATGAGGGAAATAAACTGTGGAGTACACTTTCCAACATTAAAAAAATCCCTACCGTCGAATTAGATACATACGCCTAATTATAGCTTTAGTTTTTATCATCATTTAAACGCTTAATTGGACCCACTCTTAACGCGTGTACAGCACATGTTTGTTAGTCTACGCTAAATATTATGAGATTACGGTCTTTTTTATACGTTGAATTTTATTAATAGAATGCAATGTTTGGCGCAAATCCAAATTTAAAATTAATTATAACGAATATTTTACACATAGAGAATAAAAATTAAACACTTTGAAAGATAAGCAAATGAATGAATGTGACACTTGTATTTAACCAAATACACTACCGATGTATATTTTTACCAAACGGAATTAAGTTTTTTTTAAGAACTACTGACCTTAGAATGTGATCGCTCTTTGTGTCTGTGGTGCCTGTGGTGCATCTTTTCATCTCCACTTCCTGGAGATTGATGACGTCTGGGCCGGCGACGTTGATAATTGGTCGAACCTGGAGATCTACGATGACTACGTTTATACCGTCTTTCAGCACTTGTTCCCTGATCATGCATCCGCGAACGGTTGCTACGTTCATTACTGAAATAGTAAAGTATGTTATTTCTTCAAATTCTATACCTAGTAGCTATTTTTATTAAATATAAAAAGAGAACTGTCAACAGTTGTAATTTATTCTTAAGAATTTAAAATATACATTTTATCCATAAGTGTAAAAATTAATTGTCTTTGAAATAAACATATTAATAATGACATATCAGTCTACTTGAATAATCAAAGCAGTAGTGTTTTCGTAAGTTTTGTTTGTTAAAACTAAGCAGAACAACATTATTGATACAATAACCACTGTTATTTTCTATTGTACAGTTTGTACTTTGGCAAGATCAATAAATAAAGGAAACAGTTTTCAGCCCACTACGCGAGATAAGCTTCTGGATGTGTTATGAGTCAATTTAGATAAAACATTGCCCTATGATAATTATTTTAAAACGCAACAATTACTTAGGTATTCATATTTAGGTTATCAGAGATAACTGTAATAGAAGCATTTTGTTGAAGCCATTTAATTAATGTTTTGTTTAGAGATTAGATGAAAATAAACCCGGAGAAACAAATTAACAACTGTTATACAGTAATTATAATAATATTAAAAGTATATTATACACAGATATTTATACAGTTACTGTAACTGCATATTAATTGATTTAATAATAAAAATGTAAACACCGCATGTTACTAAAATACCTGCCAGTTTATAAATATACATAAATCATACATACAATTTGTACAGCCTTAACTAGTGAAGTATGTTGTTCAATTAAAAATTGAAACATAAAATACCACTGGGTACAAAATACCTGTATATTAAAATAAGCTCGGCAACGGTAGGCATAGCCTAATTTAATATGAGCAGCAAGAAGAGATGTTAATTGGAACAGAAAATTTAATATATATACGACAAAAAATACTTTTTTAAATGAACTATTGCACATATTTCAGGAATGTTTTTACTAAAGAAATTATAAGAAAATAGGCACATCCGTACAGCCTTGTCGACTGAAACATAGTGATAGTGTCACACAAGGTTATGCTGTAGATAACCCATTATTACATACAACTATAATATGCAATACACACTACTGTAGTAACACAGTACTAATATTCATACCAAATATGGAAACCTACTCGTCACAAAAATAATGCACTTGTTTTAATAATGAATAAAACAACAGAACGCAGAAATGTTATAACAACATTCTTTTTTATTCCCAATAAAGTAAACATAAGTAAGAAAACAACTGTTATTGTTCCAAAAAAAAAAAAAAAATAGTTTGATAAGTTTGTATTTTTTTTAGGTAGTCGATGATTAATACACAATGGTTTACTTTGATATCAAAACATAAGAAGAATACTTGTCAAGGTCAATTCTTGATACATTGGCGATATTAAAATTTACAGAACAACTTAAAATTTGTTCCCCTGTATTTATTATATGTTGTAAATTTTGTTTAAAAATTATAAGACTTTTATCTATCATCTAAAATAATAGTAATGGCTGATAAAAAGTTTTTAACTATTGTTATAATATGGAAGTAATTATTATAATACAATTTTCATCTGAATATTCAACCCTGTTCCTCTTCCATTTCAAATTTGCTAATAAAGAGTATTTTTTTTTTAAAGAGGACATCATTTAAATATTTGTTTTGCTCGGATGCAGAGCTGAGTAGCAATTGTTTATCCGATGATGTGTTTTTATCTTTCTATTTTTGTGCCTGGACCAAGATATCTCCTGAACCTCTAATTGAGTTTTTTCAGAAAATTTGTGGATTAAAAATCTTACCTAAACAAAAAATGTACGAGTTCATTTGCAAGCTTGTGAGAAATATTCTTTAGATATAGTACTATCTTTTTAAGAGGTAGAAACTATTCTTTTATTTCACTTTTTTAAAGTAGTTTAGACTGATGGCAGATCTGTAGTGGGGCTATAAGATAAATATTTTTCTCTGAAAACTGTAATCAACCTTTTTTCTTTTTTGATAAAGGTAAAACCAAAAAAATTATTCCATATTTTACTATGTGTGAATGAATTGACAGATAACTGAAAACCATTCATTTAAAAATTATAGTTATTGTCACAGCATCATTTTCGATAGTAAGTCACAACGGTATGTTTAAAAAATTGATAAGTAAAATTAATAATATTCTAAGAACAATATCTATACATTGAAGGTCCACCGATAGTGTTTATATAATAGCAGCTCTATCGGGTAACAATTTACAAGTATACAGTACATACTCATAGTCATAACATATGATTATTATTATTACTATATATTAGATTATAATAAACAACACTGGTATAATTTCAAAAAGGTACCCTGTACCCCCCACCCTCTTACTGACTGTTTTCCTTTATACTAAAATCATATTACAGTTAAAATCTTTTGAAGTATGCACGTGTAGATTAAGTTTCAATACGGATGGATCAACTCGAAAATGTAATAGGCAAAATGTCCATTAAAATATTGTTTAGCGATTAAACCTAACAAGTCATGTACTATTGTTCTATTTTAATTGTACGTATCATACTTTTTTCCGAAAGCCCTCAGATCTCATAATCAGTTCTCACAGGGGTTTTCAATACTTGATGGAACTTTTGAACAATTAATAAGTACTTTATATTTTATCAGAGATAAAATAGCGATTAAAAAGAAATTTATATATTATTTTAGTATTAAATGAAGGCAAAAAAAAAAATTCAATTAAGTATTGATTAAGCCTCACTTAGTAGTTTGTCTTCATTGGGCAAACAAATAATATTCGGAACATTTTCCCGACAAATTCCTATTTTACCTATACAATAACTTTTTAACACCATTCATTTAGAACTTTAACTAATTACATAGTTAGGCGCAAATTCAAAACTATATATTTCCTACTAGAAGTAAGGATTTAGTTAAATTCTGTATTTTTACATTTTAATTACATTACATCACCTTTAACTTAATATATATATTTTATTTTACTAATACTTTATAACATAAATACAAAACAAAATTCACTAGCTACTACTACGGTATTAGATAAACTCTTGAGTTTTGACCTTAACAAAGTATCTTTGATAAATAACCGGTACAGTTGTTATAAATTATCTCCTAATTTAATCACAGTATATAATTTAATTAAACATGCTTATGACATTAAAAAATGTATATGATCTAAATATTTCCCTTTTTTAAATAAAGTAATCGAATAATTATAATGATTTTAATTAAACTAAACAAAGTATAATATTTAAATGTTTGATTGTAAACAATAAAAATATTAAATAAATACAACTATCTAGTCTATTCATTTTTTCTTAATTCAGCCACGAGTAAATAATTTAGAAATATTACGATAGGTATATTAATGATCAACATACCTGTAAGATGAACAGCTATAATCATCCATTTCATCCACATGGCGACGTTTCCGTCTTGTTGATCTGCTACGAGATCTCGACATGGATTTTTGTGGCTCATACGAGCTTGAATTCCCTCTTCTTGATATTCTAGGCATCTGAAATTATATACTTAATGTAAATTATTGTGTACAAAATAAAGAGAGGCTTCAATTTCAAAGATTATTAGCCAAAATTTAAATATTATAAGACTATAACGCTAAGATTCGTTTGAGTATATTTTATCTACTATTTATGGATATTTAGCTACATAATTTTATTTTATTTATTTCAAATTTGCCAAATTAAGTTGACAAAACAGTCACAAACCCCCCGAAAAAAACCTAACAGTGTTAAGCTACTTGCTAACTAAGTAAAACCATATTTAAATTATTCTTTCACTAATCACTTGACTCATGTTTGTTAAATGTTACCTCATTAAAACTCAACATAATTACACATCTTGATATCAATGTAATTATCAAATAATATTCATAGTATAACGATATATATCAATAGTATATATTATATATATATTATTTTTTTATAATAGCATACTTGTAAAATCCTTGTTACAAAACAAAAATTGTATTCCCTGTGTTAAAAAATGTATTGGATATTAATTAAATTGTGTTTTTTTCAATACATTTATAAAGTTAACTTGGTACAACTGTTTCTTACCTATTTGTTTTAGAATTAAATTGTGGTCGATAGAATTGGTAGACCATTCATAAAATAAAGGAATAAAATATAATGTGTATAATTTATTATATAAATTATTATTATTATTATTTTTTTTACATTTTACGTCTTTAATCCCGCTAATTGGTACTCATACTTAGATTTGGAAGTTTTCCAAAAGCCCTCAGATCTCATAATCAGTTCTCATAGGGGTTTTCAATACTTGATGGAACCTTTTGAACAATTAATAAGTACTTTATATTTTATCAAAGATAAAATAGTGATAAAAAAAAAATGTATATTTCTTAGTAATAATAAATGAAGGTAAAAAAAAAAATAAAATTCAATTAAGTATTGATTAAGCCTCACTTAGTAGTTTGTCTTCATTGGGCAATTCAAATAATATTTGGAACATTTTCCCGGCAAATTCCTATTTTAATTAAGCCGATAATTAAATATGAAAGCTGCTATAAAGTTATAGTTAGTAAATAATTGCATTCTGTTAGTGACAATTACACATTTAGCAAAATGGATTTATGTAATAATACAGTTCAAACATTAAAAGTATAATAAATAATCTTTAAAGAGCCTTGATTTTATAAAATTGGTGAATGAATAACTTGATATCACAAACGTTTGACAGTTAAAAACAGGAAAAAAATTATGTTGATAAAATTAATTTAAACAAAATGGTTCATAGTGTAAATAAAAAATGAAATAACAGATGTGTTTACACACATTATAGTTATGTGAATCATTTATACACATATATAAATATATATATGTATGTGTATATATACATATATATATATATATATGTATGGTTTTAAAATTCCAAATCTTGAAAAACAAGTTCTGTGTAAACCAAGTCAAGACATTTTTTTACCACTTTCGAGTTTTACAAAATGTGTTAACCTTGGTAAATTGTAATTGACAGACTTTGGACGGGCTACTAAAAGCGTTAGACACGATAAGATAATAATCCATAAATTTATAAATTACTTAAAAATTATACTTTTAGAATTTTTATTATGTTATATACCATTCTAAGGCCCTTTTCACAAGACATAATATTAAAAAACCATCACCCTACCTATTGCTTGTACATAAAAGTATAATCATCATCAGCTTAACAGGCCCCTAAGGCCCAACGCTGCCATGAGATGGATTCTCTGGGACGGGTTGTAAACGTATAAAGTATAATATAAAGTTTATTTTTTATGTTTTTGGGGGCAAATGCGCAAAGATAGGAAAACTTTGTAATCTAACAATCATGCATGTTTATTTAGTCAAGGCTTTTGAACCAACATAAGTGAATAAATAAGTATAAAAATTAAAACGTGTCCTTTTTGCAAACCCAATCTTAAAATTGTAGATCAAAAGTAGAACATAAGGTAAATAGAAATCCGCGTGGCAGTGTTGGGATAAAAAATGTAAACATTATTTATTTGTTGTTTATCACAATTCAACAAGCCAAACGTTTAGAATAAGAAAAAAAAATCATAATATTGTGCAACGGATTGGAAAACATTTTTCAATTGGCAATTTTGAGCGTCTAAACGAAAAACGCCATTTCCTACCATCGTAGAGCCTGCAATAAGAAATCGATAAAAGCGTGTGAGGGGTTTACTTTTTATCTTTGCAACAAAAAAAAAACATGCAATTTAACGACAAAACCCAGCAAGTTTCGCACATGACAAACAGGCGCCATGTTGAAACGCTATGTTGTTGCTGGGGGAAACCTAACAACGTTAAGATAGGCACAATATAGGTATAATTGGTACTCACGATAAACTGCCAGAATAAATCCGACGTGGATTTGATGAAGTCGAAAATTTCAGCCGTTACGAGTGTCACGCGAGAGCGACGAAAACGATCAACTTGCAAATTAAAATATGTTATTAACTTTTTTCAAAATGAACGTACGATTATTTTACCATGAGGTTAAGAGTACTTAAGACGCAATGATTAGAAACGTTATCGAATAACGAGTAATACGTAGTAACAGAAGTAAACAATAAACAGTGTGAATATTATTGTAATGTCATACCACGTTCCACATTTCCGCAGTATAATGTATATAATGTACGCCAAGTGAAACTGTGAAAACAAACCAAATCCAAAATGGACACGGATCACGGACGCAGGCCAACGCACGGGCATAACAGCCATGGCGCTGGGCCAATGAGAATCGTCGAAAACGGCGTTACCAACGTGACGGCACACACGTTTCGACGCGGAACATATTCGTTCTTGTGTGTGTGTGGACAGCCTGTACGCAATCGTTATCACGGCATTTGGCTGATAATCGCGGTAGCACGTGAGAATCACTGACAAGACGACGTGAACGCGCTAATCTTTTGAATTTTTCGGGTCATTTATTTACATTCGACTAATAATAAGTTTATGAAAAACATGTCCTCGGACGACGAACAAGAGTTTGGATCGGACGGCAGCGAGTGCACGGACAGTGATGGTTATGGCGATAATGACGAGGATATGGTCAGCGACGAAGATGCCAGTGAGTCGATGGACGATGAGTCTGTCGACGGTGCGTTATCGGATGAAAGTGAAATAGAAGACGACAAATCCGATGATGGCAGTAACGATATAGTGATTGGATCCAAGTAAGTACTCCATTCATCAGTGGATGTACTTAAAAAAAAAAACAATTATCGCGGTAATAATTTAACGTGAAATATCTATTTTTCTAGAATTACTGGCTGCACCGCCAGGAGTAAAGCGTTTTAATGTTAAATTTTGCTTCGACAAGAAGGAAGCTAGGGTTCTTGGAATAGGAGTATGATCATATTATGTATTCTTATCGTAAATAGAACAACTTGACATTTTGTCTATGTATGTGTTCGTTTGTGCAATAACTGTGTCTGTCGATAGCGCCTACGTGGATTCAAATATTAGTAGTATGTTTTTTCAGTTGTTTGGATGGAATTTTGGTGGTAATTGGATTTTGTGAGGAATTTTTTCAGGTTACTCTGGGATATTAATTCATCAAAACAATTAATTGTAATCAATTCGGTTTGAGAGAGTTATGAGCCAACAATTTTTTTTAAATGATGTTTACTGTAAAAAATAATTATTGCTATCATGACTATAATAAATTTACATCTTGTTTTTATTGTTTTAGTAGTCAAAATGACATAGAAAAAGGAAAAGCAGTTCGAGCCCAACTTGGTAATATATTTATGTATAAATTGTGTATTAATTAAATAAATTTACCTTACACAAAAAATATGGTAACTTAACATTCACATTAATAATTGATTGATTTCAGCGCTGTATGATAACTTACTACTTGCTCGTATAAAACTTCAAAAATGCTTAGCAGCAGCTAACCGTCTTCCAAAACCCGACAGCGAAGTTCCAATAAACGGTTCAGAGGTTAATGATCAAGCAGTCAAGTCATTGCAGCAGTTTTTAGATACACTATTCAACTTAAAAAATAAACTACTAACCAACAATAGTAATTTTATGAAAACCATGTAAGTTGACGAAAACAATATAGTTTTTTAAAAACATCTGTTTACGGCAAAATTTCAATTCTGTTTTAGTGATAAAGATAATGCGGACGTTTTGACCGACAAAATCAAACATAAAGATATTGATCATTATTTACAAAAACAACATGATATTTTCAAACCGTACAGAGACGACACAATACAGTTCTGGAACGAACGTACAAAACTCGCTTCAGGGAAAGCGGCCAAGTCGGATTTTTCTGCATTTGATCAACCTACGTTATCTCAAATTGAACAGATAATGGCCGATAAAAATAGATTAATCGAGAGAACTCGTACCAAACGTTCAAAATACGAAATTGTAGGCGACCCAGAATCGTTGACCAAAGATGTCGATGCAGAAATATTCGACGACGACGACTTTTATCATAAATTACTAAGAGATTATATTGAAAAGAAATCAGCCGATATCACAGATCCTAGTCAACTTGGAAAGTGAGTTTAAAATTGTATAAAAAAAAATACTGTATTTTTTTAATTAATATAATATTTCCGATTGCACAGGCAATGGCTTCAGTTACAGAAATTAAGAAGTAAAATGAAGCGTAAAATCGACACCCGCGCCACCAAGGGCAGAAAACTGAGATATACCGTACACACGAAGTTGATGAATTTTATGGCACCCAACGACCAATCTGGGTGGACGGACGAGGCGAAACAGGATTTATATAATTCCTTATTTGGCAAAAAAATAGCGCGATAGATTAATTAATAATAATATACAATATAGAAAAAATTATTAAAAATATCCTTTGATTTTTATTTCACAATTTCTTTTAAAATAAAATAAACAAATTATAATGTTGTAATTTGTACTCTGCAATAATTTCTTAAAATAAGTAGTTTTTTTTTTTTAATACAGTTCAATAAATATTATATAATCATCATAATTATAGTTAATAATGTAAGCGGGTTTAATTAACATACACTGAAACTACGTCCACTCCTCCGTAAGCTCTGCTTCTTTAGAGCGGGCGTTAAAAAAATAAAATACCTACATATATATATTTGTATAAAAATGTTTTTTTTTTAGTGATAGAACAATCTATATACTTGTAAAAAATTAATTATGAAACTAAAATTTAATTTCTGGTAGAGCTGGCAAAATATTCTTATTAAGATCTTTGAAATAGCGATGTTGAAGTGCATCTCTGGCACTGATACGTTTGCTTGGGTCATAAACCAACATTTGCTATTAAAATCAAAACAACAATTAGATTTAAATATAAAATGTAATTTGCTTTGGTTATTACTTGTAACAAATCCAGACCGTCACTGCTTAAATTCGACACTGACTCTTTCAGTCGGTCGTCACTCCATTTTGGGAACGTTGGTTTGTAGTCCTTAAGTTCTGAAACTCCTGGCCATGTTTCTTCGCTCGGAGTAGTTAAAATTCTAAAATAAAGAATATTATGACAATTTTATTTATATTAATTCTCATTTAAATGTGTCATATTATTATAAAAAATTAGATGTAACTATTTTTATAGAGAAGAGTATAATACAGAATTGACACTGATCGTACACAATCATTAGTCCGCTTAACTTGACTATAAATTAAAGGAACATTTTTTAATTTATTCTTGATTTTAAATACTTGGGATAAATCATTAGTAAAATAATTAGACTAGCAAATCGATAAACTATTGTAAAGACATTTTGTTTAAATTAAATAATGATAATAATAAGAATATTATATTTGTTGAAACAAAATAAAATAGTTGGTAAAAAAATGGAAAATATTTTGTAGGTATAATTAATAAATACAAATAGACTACAAAACAAATTCAGCACATTTTTAAAAATATAATGACTTTGTTATATTCTACGAGGGAACTTAAAAAATATTATTCTAGATTTAAATTAATTGAATTTGACGCTCCTTACAAAAACTATTTTACTTTAACGGCCAAACGAAAAACCACACTTCAGCCTGTTTTGTTAATTCAAGTAGCAGTTTTAAATTTCACACATAACATTATTATATTTATATATTTCAGATAATTTTATTACTGCCAAAAAGTACTAATATTAGTATTTATTTAACTTTTTGCGCAGCCTTATTCACAATGAAAAAAAAAATGTCTACAGTATTTCGGGTTTACCTGAAAATACGAAACAGTTGATCAATTTCTGAATCTCCTTGAAATAAAGGCCTTCCATGAGCCATTTCAGCAAATATACATCCTACAGACCAGATATCAATTGGACAACCATATCGTTGAGTGTTTAATAATACTTCAGGAGCTCTGTACCATAATGTTACAACCTGAAAAACAAATGTAGGTATTATCCAAAAATGTCTACAATATCACAACAATATTTAAATATTACTCTTCTAAAAATAATTAATTCAATATTTACCTCATGAGTATAGACACGAATAGGTAATCCAAATGTACGGCCTAATCCAAAATCTGCCACTTTGAGTACGTTGTGTTTGGTATCGATTAATATATTTTGAGGTTTTAAATCTCTGTGCAGTATTCGCCTCACATGGCAGTAATAAATAGCAACTAATAACTAAAGTGAAGAAAAAACATATGCATAAAGAAAAATGACTGTGTTCAATAAAATGTTCCAAAAGGATTTATATTTACCTGATACGTAAATGATTTGGTGGTACCTTCATCCAAATGTTTTTTCGGTCTGGAGTCGATAAATTTCTTCAAATCCATAGGAACAAATTCAAATACTAAATACAATCTCGATTCGTCCATTAGGATTTCACGCAAACTATACAATATATTAAACAAATGTCAAATTTAACTACCTAATGTACAGTTAAGTAATAAATTATTACTTCACTATGTTTGGATGGTTGAGTTCCTTTAAAATGCTTATTTCCCTGATAGCGGTGGCCGGTATTCCTTCATCTTCCATTTCCATACGAATTTTCTTCACAGCCACAATCTCTTTCGATATACGTTCCATGCATTTGTAAACAACTCCATAGGTGCCTTCTCCGATCTTTTCCAATTTGTCGTAAGCATCCATAATTCTACATCATAAACAATTGAACGCCACAATGATAAATAAAAATTCCAAAACAGTGGGGTCGAGACAGTTGGAACAGAATAGAAAACTTCAGGAATTAATATGGCTAAAATTGATGAAATTACTCGAAAAGAAAAAAAAATTACCGTAATGTTAAGTCAAAGATTGTAAAAATATACATTATTTTAAATCACTATGTACATAAGAAGACTTGAGACTTAAATTTTGAGGGGCCATGTAATGTTAATATGTTATGGGCCTCGAAAGGAGATTTTATCCAACTCAAAAAGTCCATATTGGCACGGCTAATGAACCCCGTGCCTACCCGTAAAGCTGGCTAAGACTATATTACACAATTTTGACACAATATAAGTACACATTGGATCTAACATTAACCAAATTAAATTTTCAAAACCTAAATCGAAAATATAGGAAAAATATCCCAACCCTAGATTTGTTTTCGCTTTTCAACAGTATTGCTACATTTTAAAAAAGTGTTCCAAACAAATATGGGCCAAATTTGGAACTTGGTATGCCGTTTTTTGAAACGCTGGACCATGTTGCATTTTTAAATTGTAAAAAATGTTTTCTCAATTTCGAAAAAGAAGGAAGTGAATTTACTTTTAACTATTTAAAGGGTACTTTCGATGAAACATTGCTGGCTATGCAGTAAGACGTTTAGAAACAAATACTCGACTAGAAGTGAAAAAAGTCACGGATATATTTTGAATCATTAAACCAAGAACTCGACGTCTTAGCAGGTACCAATATATTAATAGTGCAATTTAAACTTTATTCGTTAAGGACTTGGTACATACATTTTGATTTCCCGAGTAGGTAGTTGAAATTTCAAAAAAAAATGTGCAAAAAGCTACTACTGCCAATGTTGGACCAATGAATTAAGATAATTATTATATGTAAATAATACTAAAAAAAAAATATGCATACGAATCACTTACCCGTTTGCAACCTGGAAAAAAAATCAAAAACAAATTTTAACGTTTATTTTAAAAATGAATTGCATTACTTTTCAACAAATCGCCTAACACCTACAGCTGCTGCAGCACTACATGTCTACATAGAACATAATATTGTATAGGCTTTATTCATTTAGCATTCTTGTATCATTTAACCGAAAAAATGGCGGTTAAATAGTGAACCGCAAACCGTTGTTACGCAGGAGTTGGTAAAATGTGCATACATAGTTATTCTCTTCCATGACGTGTTTCTGTTTTTCTTCCATGATCAACACTTGAAACCACGATAACCGCAGCTGCAGTCGTACCGCAGGCTGGATTAAATTTTATCTGTTGTGTGGTCACACTGTACGTTTTGGCGCCAATGATCAATTGGTGATAACTGATAAGCTGTAACTGACAATAATGATAAACGATATTTAATATCTGACATCTGTACTAATTTAAAAGCTGTAGCCCGGTCTGATCTAGTAAAAAGCCCGCTTTGTTATTTAAAAAAATGTATATTGTAATAGGTAGAGGGCTTATGTAAATAACAGGAGAACGTTCCATTTTTTGTCCAATATTTTTTTGGTACATTGATAACCCTATTAACCCGTGAACTTGAGATTATATTGATCGGCCACTCTCTGGCTGTACAGAATCCCTAGCTAAAATTATATGCTAAATATTTGTGTGAAGATGTGTAGTTCACGATCAACGTTTACTAAATTCGTCTTAAGGAAACGTATAAGCACTGAGTTGCGATGGAAAAATATTACAGCTAAATAATAGATGTAGGTATATTTAGAAAAGGAAAATAAGATAGGTACCTATGGAAGGATGATGAAAGGTATCGCTGGATAATATAAGAAAATGGCTATTTCAAAGACCATAATGTTATACCGACTAAGGAGAGGAAGTAGCCCATTATAGATGAAAAAAAGGGGGGAAATAACTAAAAGGGACTGAAGCCAATTTTTTATAAGAATAGAAACAACAAAGAGCTATTATACCAACTGCCTAGGTTCTGTACATATTATGTACAACGGAGAAAATAGTAAAACTCATTTTTGTTTAAATGTAAAGTACCTTTTAAAGAAATTTATAGACAAAACGTCTGTGGTAAAAAAGATAGAGAAAAAAATTTCAGAGGGAACCTCGTTAAGATTTTTTTAAATATCAATACAAAGATTTACCTAAGTACCGAAATTTTGTAGTTTTTGTTGATAAATAATTTGCATTTCAGTAATATGTGTTGGTATTGTAATAAGTGGACGACATACAACCCTACACAGAAGATAAGGATACTTAGGTACCTGATAATATCTACTATGTTTGCCCTGGGTTGTTTAAGAGTTTTTATCAGAGTTTTATAATTATTCTAATTTTCCATTTTTCCATCTCGTTTGTTGTACAGGCACAGACGTGGTTTCGGTGGTGGAGAAATTAATTTGCTAGTTATTAATCATTTTCACTTGCGAAACATGCCAGTTGTCCAAGCCAAAGTTACACATCCTAGTCCTGCAGACAAGGGTCAAACATTAACGCTAAAAAAACTGAATCCAAGTGAACATTTTAAATGCATTGGACACGTTTCGTTTGTAAATGATTAATTGTTTCAATTCCAACGAGCAAAGCAAGCTGTTGAAAACACAAATTTTACACAACAAGACAGTTGGTACTGTCTGTCAGTAACTATTCTTGCTTTATTGCTGGAAAAGCAAAGGGAATTTTATTTTAAAAATGTTTAAAACTGCATAAAATATTGTGAATACAATCACTCCGGTTTAAATTTGAGATTTGTGTTCAAGAAAGACATTCAAATAGTGTTCAATAATATTGTAATAATTTAAGTAATTAGGACAATCAGAACAAGTTAAGACAATATCGTGAAATCAACTTTGTGGTAATGCACTATATATTTTTTTTTATACTAAAACAAGCTTTGAGACGGTCAGTTTGATATGGTTTTTGTAAGTACCTAACCGTCTTTGGAGTACTTTTTATTACACTTAGGACTTAGTACAGAGGTCAGTAATACATCTTTATGTCGTGGACGAGACGACAGTATTGGTATTGATTATATTTAATGACCTAATAATATAATCTATAAAGGCGTTAAAGGCACTTTGGGGTCTACTACTATAATATTATTCTGTCACGGTCACAACTTTTTCCATCCATTTCTGTCTCTTTTGAGTTTCCAAGTCCTGTTGCACACCATAGCTTAGTTTATTCCTCAGACGGATTTCCATTTATTTACTTGATTTATTATCTCTGAATTTCACATAATACCCATTAGATTATATAGCTTTGTAATTTCCTTATTTTTTTCCAGATAAAATGTATAATAATTATTTCTCGTTAGCGACTCGAGGGATATAATAATATTCCCAAAACCTAAATTTTCGAAAACGTAGACATAATATTTATTTTATTAATTAAAAGCCGTTTTCAAAGCAATCGATAATCGACCCAAAAGGAAACGGCCTCTTTCATTTACGGAAATAAATTGTTTAAAATAATTATTTACTCAACACCAGGGTTTCGGAATTAATTATTCCAAAACTAAGTACAAGATTCAAATAGAGAACAGCGTTGGGATGGCATTGAAAGTACAGTTTATTGTATAATTCACACTGTATCTTACAAATTTTCGATTTGCCTCGTCCCCTATTTTATCATACATTTATTTATAAAATATTATAGATATATCATTGCAATTGATCGACATAGGCCATACCATAACATTGTTTTTGAAGATTTTTAGTGTAATTTTGTCATTATTAATTTAACTGATGCGTATCAACTTGATTAGTACAAGTTCTAACTTTGGAGTATGCTTGTGTAGGGGAGGGAGTTAAGATTTCCAAAACAAATTAAAAACTTTAAATTCACTTGGATTTCAGTAACTGATATTATTATATTATATAATACTATCAAAATGTTGAAAATATATTCACTAATTTTTTCAGATTTGTATTTCATCCCCCGTGTCTCGTCGTTAGTACAATAACAATTTTGTTATTCATAATGAGAAAACATTGGAATTTGCATACGTTTTTAATGCGATTGAGTGCACTAATGTGAGAACACATACAATGTTCTAAACTTGTCAACTTAAATCAAATTTTTAATAACTTAGTTCCATTCTTTAGGTTATCCGCTATTTAGTAATGATTTGATTTAGAATATTAAGCTTTGTTCTATACGTACACTTTGAGAACTGTTTCGTTTTATTTATAAAAAAAAAAATGATTTTTTATGACACATTTACAGAAAATGATGTATATATTTTCATGACTATAACCCTGAACTAAATTACTAATAAAAAAAAAATTAAAGAATAAAAATACTAGCACGGTAAATTTCTAGTAGTATTATTATGAAGCAATATCAAGTAAAAATAAAAACATAACATAAAATAAGAGTATTTTTGACAGTACTGTAATTATCACATAACGTCATCTGCTGTCCTCTAGATTTTTAAACAGAAATTATATTCTTTAATATAAAACGTAAAATACAACCCCATCTCTTTGTATTCTATAGAGCTTGAAAATTAGCTAAAAAAAGTACCAAAAAACGTCTATTTTCATTCTCTGGCATCAATTTGGACAGGTAGGACCTATTGGGTATAGTGTGCGTGTTTAGCAGACTCCAAGTTGTGAAACCATCAAAATTTCACCTCCAACAGTTGGAGTAAAAATAACATTTTAATTTAACAGTTTGTTTTATATAACTAAAATGAAATAAAAAGAACGATAAATTTCTTCTTTTTTTTTATTAACATTTTAACATAAAAAAGTTTAAAAATTACAAAGATTTCTGCCTTGTTTTTTTCACTGCAAAAGTTTCAAAACTCTGAACATTGATTGTATTACATTTTGCAAAATAAATTTATGCGAATTTGATCAGAAAAAAATATTCTGCAGCTGTCGGGGCACCCAGAATTTGGGGGCCAAGTGCAAGTGCACCATCTGCACTTGTATAAATCAGGCCGTGATCAAACTAAGAAGTGGGAACAAAGTTGATTTGTGCACAAGTGTCGAAATCCCATTTAAATTTCAACCCTTATTTTTTTTTAATCTTATTTCTATTGTATTTAGAAACTTTTTAAGGACCACCCTAATAATATACATACACACGAAAGTTGCGTTCGCTATTTTCGCTTATATTGTCATTGCATAAATTAAGGGATATACCGGTAAGCGTGCGTGTGTGTGTTTTCTTAGCGGCGACGGCGGTCAACAGCGACATCAACAAGTCGGGCGGCCAGCACACACACACATACGAGCGCATACGGCGCGGCCCGCGCAACGCGCGTCTCTATGGTTACTTACGCTAGCGGGCGGGCGGGCGTCGCCACCGCGCGCCATTCGCTTACGGGCGGCACGTCGCGTCAGTCGTGTACGGTGGACGCGCGCGTTTGCCGGCGGTGGTGTGGAGACCGTGTGGACCCGTTCCCTCCATAAAGGCGGCGTGCGTGTGTGCCTGTGTGCCTGTACGCGGTGTGTGTGCCATAGTCCTACTACGGCGGCGGCTTTGGTTTTTGCGTGCAGTGTGTGTTATCGCGTGCCCGTCGTCGTCGTCGTTACCGCCGTCGTCAGTTGACGCGTCCGTTACTGCCGCGCCAGATGGATCCGTTCCGGACGACGTGCCACCGCGAAAGACAACAAAAAAAATAATAATAAAAATATATACATATAATATTATAAAACATATTAATTAATTAATTAATTAATCGTCACAATTATTCCCGTCATATATACATATGTATGTAACACACGTCGTATGACCAACGCAATACAACGCAGAGACGCATTCGGTTGTCGTTAAAATTTAATAAATTTATCGTTTGGCGGTTATCTCACAGGGTGAGTCCATTACCATTTGAAACTTAAGTATAACTTGTGCTTATATTATTTATATTAATTTTAATATTATTCAAGGGCGTCCATCGAACAAATCTTCTGACTTTCTATGTTTTTTTTTTTAATAGGCCATTACTTATTAAAATAAAAAGCGACAACTTTATTTGTGTACAACGTAAGCATGTACACATGTCTTGGGAGTTGCATAAGAAATCAAAAAGTGACCTTTGATTGTTGTCTGCGGTACTTGATGGACCCCCTTGATTGAATTACTCGAGAAATATAAACATGTACATGTGTAATAATTTTTTATATGATGTACAACATAAAAATGTGTACCTTTTTACTACTGCGCGCAAATTAGGTCAATTTATATTTTTTCTACCGAGAATAATGTGAACTCTTTGACTTGAACGGATTGTCGGTTTTTGGACCAGACTTATCCATCAAAACGGCCAATCGAGTTAAACACTGATGGCGTTTGCACTGTTCAGGGTCCATTAGGGTGACATGACAGAGACCAAAGCTAGTGCCTAAGTGCGTTTTGTTTTTTTTTTCAAAAAAAAAGAGTACACACTACCCGACCGAGTTGGCAAAAGACGTTTGCAAAGTTTGCCGGAAACTCACTTCCGAGTGTCTGTAACCGGCGTGCCGACATGTCCAAAAATGATGCGTGTGGCACCGCTATTTTCACCGCTGCGTGTCATGTCGTCCCCGCCGGGGCAACACACAGATAGCCAACGCGCGCACTGCATATTGTGACAAAAATAAAACCGCACGCCGCGACAACGACGTCACGCGCGTCAACGCCGCCGAAAGTCACAGCAATGTGTTGCGAACACACGGGTCCGGTCCGAAAACAGGGCGTCCGCCTGGCGCGATAGTTATTATCAATAACATTAAGAGGACGTCGTACCACCCCTTCCCCATTTTTCATTAAGGAGTTAAACCCCGATGTACAGGTTAGGTTTGGTTAGGTTAGGTTAGGTTTGGTTTGGTTAGGTTTGGTTAGGTTAGGTTAGGTTTGGTTAGGTTTGGTTAGGTTTGGTTAGGTTCGGTTAGGTTTGGTTTGGTCAGGTTAGGTAATTATTAGTTCGGCAATCGGGACTCTATTCGCATCCTAGACGACCATTTAAAAACGTTTTAGTCGGTTAGGTTAGGCTACCCTTTAAAATGTGATTTTAAAAAACAACTATGACAAAATAGATACATACCTAGAGGACAAGATTTCCTTGGCGTTTTGCACTATCTTTAGCGTGGGTTAGTTTACCCGCGCCAGTTTATCTTTGTTATTCCTTGCCGTGTTCTTCCAAAGTTCCGAACTTTCAAGTTACTTGAGTTCGGCCGAGGACGGTGATGTCGCTTCCTCTGTATACTTCTGGGCTTAGATACCTACAGTGGTATACCGATATCCATGGGTGGTTGCTTACACCAGCTACTTTTCACATGCTTTTTTACCGTTGAAAATCATAGATGAGACTTGCTCTTAACGTTGTCTTGTGGTAGCATAAAAGCGGTATTATTCATCATTGGATTGTACATTTGATTGACTTTTTAGCCTTTAAAGTTTAAGAGTTTAGAATGGATACCGTATGTGTATTTTTTTCATCAAAAATTGAATGCACAGAACTATAATTTTGGATAAACTTGACCGAATAATAATGCTTTATTGGCACGAGTTTAGATTGCTGTAGACTAGTGACCGCCTGACCGCAACGAGCTGACTCTTTGAATTAATTTTTCTATTAGTTGTGTAGTGATTTTGGCAATATTATTTGTCTCACTGTTTGTCTACCGGCGTTAGTCAAGAGGCTTTGCAATCGTCGTAGGTCTGCATTGAATGCGGTAGGGTTGGCATAATATACGACATCGGCAATGCACACACAATGTAGAGGGGAAAAAATAAAAAATAAAATTACAAGCTGCAGTGTGACGGAAATCATATTTCTTTCAGCTATACATTACAAGGTCCAGACAAAAACACACATCTTTGTAAATCCTTTATATTTTACAAGAAAAAAAAACCAATTCGTTTAGGACTATCATCATTCTTTAGGCGAGACAGACCGAATTTCCCCCAAAAAAAAAACCTTATTAAAAACGATAAAATGTAGGCTGTAAATTTAAATCGCACATGCCAATCCGTCCGGTTTGAACGGTAGAAAAAGGCTGGTGCTGTGTTTTATGTAAATTTTGTTCATTTATTAAATTTTGCTTCGAAGCCAGTGGATAAAAATGCCATTTCGGTGTGCATGTATAATGTGTATTATATAATTAATTGTGGTAAAAACGACGTTGAAAAACAAATAAACTGTATATGCGATATGAGTCAATTATTTTTGGTTAATGAGTTGATCCAGAAGTATAAAAAATTGTTCAAACTTTATAAACTATATTAATTGGAATTTATCATGGGAATAAATATATAAAAAACACTCAATCACAAATACTTCACTTTAATTAGATTTATTTTCTAGAAAATCTGTATTAAAAAATAGGCAAGGCAATGTGACGTTTATGCTATTGTATTGAATGTATATTAATTGACATCTATCATCGTTGATATTTATAGTACATGAGTTCAATTTAAAACAACGAGAAGAGTAACATTATTTTTTAATGTAATATAATTTTTTGTGTGATGTATTATGATTAATGAGGCTTGGGAACTATCCAAAACTATAATATTATAGTGTATGAATATTGTTTTATTATACCACTACAGCTAGGACACAACTAACGTACATACAATTTAAATACGCATACATTATGTGCTTCTTTACACTCAAGGGGTTTTATTACTTTTGTGATGCTATAAACTTTGTCAAAAGATGTATTTTATAGACTATGTTTAACACTCGCCAAGCTTTACCGAAACCGTTGCGCTTTCTTATCACCTAATCATTTATCAAAATAAATAGAGAGAGATTATTGATAAGGGAATATTGATAAGAGACTATTGTCCGTAAGATTTCAGATTTGACTACCTACTGTTTAGAAATTAGTAAACTTGTATTTTATTTTTTACAATTAATTATATTTTCTTGTACTCCCTGACGAATATTTTGCGAATAAATGATTAAATTATGCTTTTGTGTCGTTTAATCTATTGTTATAATATATTTTTCACATTGTCTTTATATATTTTATACAATAGGAAGAGTGGTTTGTTATGATTAATGTCCATATTATAATTATCTCGCTTGTTAGTGTCTTTCTCTAAAATCAATGGTTTTTTTTTTTAAAGAATTAAATATGTAAGCAGCAGTTGGTGTAAACTTGCATTGGCTTACAGTTATTACATAATTGGCTGTGAACATTTTAATGGCTGCTAGTAAATGACTGTTTATTATCTATGCAAAGCGTTATTTCATATTTGATTACCGTATAATGTGGTGTTCGTTACATAATATAATAATACATGGAAAACGCCAACGGTAGTAAAATTCATAAATTTTATTTTAAGACAATTCCGGGTGTCGTTTGTTTAAATGGTTTTATAGCTTTACGCGTGACTCATTAAGTATGTTAACTAAATCAAGGCCAATTTCTTTAAGTCATTAAAAAAAAGAGAGATTTTTTCTAAATCTATTTTATCTAAATCAGTGACAGAGCTTTAACATTGACTTCTGGACGTTCTATATTAAAACCATTTCTGCTGGTGGGCGGATAGCGTGTGTAATTATCTTGTTATCGATTCAATTGTAATAGATAATAACATGTAGTTTTAATTTGGGCTATATTTAATGCACAAATTATTATTAAATATTCAGGGCGCTCGTCCAAGTCTGTTGCGACAAAAAAGGTCGTCAATCTGGCCAACAATCAAATGATTATCTTCACCATAGAAACTACTGTTATTGCTAGGAGAATATACTATATTATCATCATTTGTAAGCTCACAATCATAAAATATAAACGTGTCTATCGTATGCTGGTCGTGTTTTTTAGATTGGCCGTACGCGAATGACGAATTAAACGAGGGCAATTTAAAAATAAAATTCTATAAATATTTCATTTCAGCTTGTGCTCCATTAAATTGCAGGTATTCCTAATATGATTACAGTTAAACCTCCTCATACTGTGTGCATATACTGTTGTGAACAACCGCACAGCCCATTATACCGCATTAACCGAGTCCCGTGGGTAATTTCGATAATTTATGTACTTGCTAAAAAAATGTACAATGAAACGTTATTATATACATACAATAGCCCAATTGTTGAAGGGGAAAATAACGATAGAGCGGTGCCGGCTTGCGGTGCCTTACAGAAAATCAAACGCTTCATAAAAAATAAACACCCAAGCTCAGGTCAATTAATAATTACAGGAATAACGCAAAGGTTAATAATTGTTTGAAGCTCGAGTGGGCTATCATAATATTATTATGTCTCGCCTGTCCTGAGCGTAACAATGGAAATAATTCTTATCACTACCAATTTTTTTCTTAGGCCTTCAAAATGGAAAAAAATATTTTAATGACTTTAATGACAAATTATTTTTAGAAAGGTATCTAAACTATCTAAACAATGTGTTAAAAAGTTATAATTTATAAACTATTTATAAAAACCGAAAAGTTAAAAGAAAGTAAAATAAAATGTCAAATAATAACAAATTGACAAATTAAATAATACAATCAGTTATCACATATCTTAATAACCAATAAGAACGTTGGAAACGAGGTAACCACTTTGGTAACCTAACTAACGTTTTGTTAACTTAACAAATAGAATTTAACTATAATAATGTTATGGTAAAACTTATTTCATTTAACCAGATGTTAAATTTAAATGAATTGTTAACTAACATTATGTTAAGAGTGTATATTTAACAATAGTTGGTGAAACCTGCTGATTATATCATGTACTCAATTGAAATTTAACATTTAAACAAAACAAATGTATTACTTTTTTGGTCGTTTCAAGTGATTTCAGAATTGGCATGTGTACTTACACTATTATTTGCTGAATATATTTACCGGAAACGTCTGTCGTGAAGCGTTT